ACACTTCCAAAATCGAAACTCAGCGAATATTTCTGTAGCTGCAATGTATTCCTTATTTTGAAGACGTTCATTATATTTTGTCAATGTCGTTTCATGAATGCAGTAGTTACGTTTAACGGGAAATAATTACAGCAACGAGAAATTTTCAGTGATTTTTAAGAAACACTTTAAGTTGCCTACTTTTTTCTTATGAACCAATGACTAGTACTAATAGGAGAGTTATATTCGCGTTTGTAACTATGGTCTTAGGCGGCTTGTGGCTTACGACCTGACAAAGCTGTGGTTTATAATAGCTGGATCTAACGTAGAATATTCTGTTTATTTACGAACTCCAATTCTGCGGTTGCAATTTGCAGTTAACCAAAATTTCTAGTTTTTTATTGTGAGAAATCGTTTCACTTATGTAAAGTTCTGCTTATGAGCTAGCAGTGGATTCTTTTCACTTTTGTGAAGTTCTACCCATGAGCGGGCAGTGGGTTCTGTCTCCGTAGTTGAAAAGTGCATTGTGGTTAATCTATGAACGCTTTGAGGACCTAACAATTACTTGAAAATAAGCATCAGTTCAAGGAATTTTGGAAGCTTTTCACTAACTCACTTTTCGTAATTCTGAAGCTCGAACGTCTGTTAAAGAGCCCTCTTGTATTGTGAACAATGAAAAAATGTTTGTTTAAAATGAAATGAAGTAAGAATAAAGAGTGAATAATAATTCATTAACCTCCAAGTCGGATTTTCTATTAACCTCGGCATTGATTGAATAATTCTTTCTACTTCTATTCAGAAAACACGAGTTGTTACTTTATTTCTTTATTTACGCACAAGCTGACGTTTCGGCGGATTTTGCCTTCCTCAGAACCTGGAAAGGTCAAGCTGACTACAATCTACACTGCCAAACACCTCCATAACCAAACGGAGAAAATGCCGAACCAAAATTGCAATCACATTGAACACAGAGTTTTTGCACACTCACCGCTTCCTATGAGTCTTCCACTAAATATGTCACGTGGATACTAACCGCATAGAGTTCACACGCAATCCTATTGTACCCATCTCATCAAAATAAGAGGCCAAATATCATACGTGATAATGAGGCATTCTTCCCATATAGTACACCCAGTTGTATTATAGCCAGAGGTATAACGGGGGCGACTTTGAAGTACGTGCCACGATCCTCGCACAGGAATTGAGAACACAAGGGAGCAAAACTCTTGAAGTGTTCTGGATTAATTCCAGAAATCGGAAAATGAACCGCAGGGAAGAATGCCTCATTGTCACGTGTGATATTGGGCGCAATACGAATCCGTGTGAACTCTGTGCGGTTGGTCTCCACATGACATGTTTAGTGGAAGACTCATAGAAAGCGATGGGTGTGCAAAGACTCTGTCCAATGTGATTGAAATTTTTGTTAAGCATTTTCTCTGTTTAGTTATGGAGGTGTTTAGCCGTGTAGATTGCAGTCAACTTGACCTTTCCAGGCTCTGAGGAAAGCGAAATCCGCCGAAACGTCAGCTTGTAAGTAAATAAAGAAATAAAGTAACACCTCGTGTTTGCTGAACAGAAGTAGAAAGAATAATTCATTAATTAAGTTAGCTCATATTTTGAAGAACAACGATATGCCCGTATGCCAACTAAAACGTGTTAGGTTCGAATTCTTTTAAGATAACGACTTGAGCATGGTCTTGTTTTAGGATCTAAGATCTATTATATTTCTAATAATGGTCCATAACTCTTTGTCACTTACAGAGCTATCTTCACCCCTTCTCACTATGGTCCATAACTACGTCTAATATTTTCAAGTCAATAAAAGGGTTGACAATCTCAAGTACTGTAGCACTACCTAAACGTTCGGTTACTTGTATATTTTTTCCTACCAATGCGTAAAAGTCCTTATACAATCTCCATTCATTTCTTTGTTTCGCTTCTGTCGTTGAAATTAAATTCTTTTAAGCACAGTAACTTCGATTATCATACTGGGATTTATAAATTAAATACTCCTGCTAACATAGAAAGGTTCGCGATATTTCAATTGGTCATCCTTCAACACACTTACATCCTTTAAAGATTGACTACGCGCACTGCGACTCCAAAGAAAAAGGTGGCGCCGATGTTTCGGTCAGTCTCTATACAACTTTTTGACGTTCTCGCGTAAACTTTTCGTTAAAAAAAGATATTGTTGATTGTTATACATTCGATGCTTGGGTTAGTCGTTGAGTTTTTTGAAAGGTCCGAACGATTCATTCATCTTCTGTACAATTCTTCCTTGTTCGCAGTATTCACTGACCTAAGCAGGTTTACCTTGTGTTCGTAACCATTATTTTGACTTCTTCTTTATGCCCTTCATGGATTTCGTGAATCGCGCTCTATTTATCCTCAGTACTCCTCTTTTTCTTATTCACGCGAGCAAAGTTTATTCTTCATTGGTACGTAGTGAAACATTGACGATAACCGAGAATACTTTACACGACAGTATGCGGATTTTTTCTTCATCAATCCATATGACATTTGCATGTTAAACTATCGACTTCATTATCCACTCTAATGGGGTCGTAAACAACTTTAGGGAAAATGTGGGTAGAAATGGAGCGATTGATGAGCTGTATTTTCATGCTGATGGCAGTGATCGATAGAAATAGCTGAGAGACAGGCGAAACAAGGACTCGCATGGTGTGGTGGTGAACGTGTTACTCCCCGGAAAGGACAATAGCGCGTTCTTTCTCCACCGCATACACCTGCGGTCCGGAGTTTTGCAAATATTTCAGCAACGTCGTGGTTGTATTTCGGTTAATACCGTGCCCTAAAAACTTTAGTAGGCAGAAAGTAAAAGGTAAAAACATCGTATTTTCATGGTTCAGTTGCAGAAAAATTGGGTGAAGTATATAGAGTCTATATAGACCAAATCTGTTCACAAGCGGTGACTGAACGGCGCTCGTGTTGGCATGGTGAGAGACGTCTTCGTCGACGGTGAATGTTAGAACAGCGGTTCTTCAACGAGATTTAGTTAAATAAATCCTTTACTCATTCAGTAAGGCTGTTTTGGGATAATTTGCTAACAATTTGATAAGCGGTTGGATATCTCTGTCGTAAATAGTTCACTTTTCCTCCTTGGGAAATGGTACAGCTATTGAACAACTTGTTTAGGAGAGTGGTACGGCAGAGATGCTAAGAAGACATCATATCCCATCACTGGTGGTATGCTTAGTCCTATTTTTTATATTAGCTATAAATTGCTCTATAAGGGTATCGTACTGAACCGAATGCTTTATAGTCGGTCATAATGTTCTTCTCGTTGATATCGAAGTAAATAGCGTAACGGTATTATAATGCAAAGGATAAACATAAAGGAATTCCTATAAATGGAGTGAAACATCCCACATCTTCTCTCTTATAATGTCTTATTGAGTGAGGGGAAATTCTTAGGTTTTTTAAGGCTTATTTAAGAACTATTTGCTCTCTAGTTGGAACTATTATGTCAAATTTTCCAGTCAGTGAACCGATTTTGCCCACTATGTGTTTACACCAGGTTTATCGCAATTATTAGTTTTAAGTTCTATTCTTCGGATCTTTTTTCGTGCTCTTTTTTGACGTCCGTCACTTCTTACTCGCTTTTCTTTCTTGAAGTTATTGACTTTTATAAAGTAACATTTAGTTATCTCATTCTGTGGTATTTTTCCTGAACTTGTGAAATTTCTATGCCCATGCTGTTATCTCATCTAGCTGATACCATTTGTTTATCATGCATTGGGGATACTGTATGGTTACCGTATACAGTTCGTCGTGCTGCTCATCTTTGGTTGCGGTATTGTTGTGTCGTTTTTCACGCAGATAAATTCCAGCCAGATGATCTTCGCACGAAGTCGATCGGCAAGTACAACATTTGCTTTCGATTATCTTCACTCACATCATCATCATTCATTTGTAAGCCGATCTATCAAAACTCAGCAATCGATATCGATCGTTTTGAGTTCTTCATTTTAAATAGCAAAAAATATATATGTAAATGTAAAATAGTCCTGATTATTATCAAAAAACATTTGTCATTTTTGATGTTAGAAGTGAATTTCGAATATTTCAACATTAAAATGAAATCGTAACAATAACAGAGGCTACCATAAACGGTCACCATAACCCTAAATAAAAGAGGATATTCACTTGCCAACTATTCAGGATTTTTATCCATCAGCTACTTCGCCCTATTTTTACGAAGTAGTCCTCACGACAATGGTTGTGGATACATAAGATTTTCAAAGACTTTTTTGTTCATTTATAAATTCTGTTAGTGAGTGATAATAGAACTATACGAAGTCGTGCATAGTGAGCTTTGTTCAATAACATTAACGTCGTCATCGGACCTAGAAATCATCAACACCGAAAGCCTTGGTTTGACCAAAGCAAAGGATTTCATCGCGGATAAATCGTCCTCGTTTCAATGTCCACTTCCTCGAACCTTGGCCGAACACATCGTATCACTCCTCCAATTACTGGACACCCACTTAAAAACTATGAGGACCAGAAAGTTTTCTGCGCTTTTCAAAAAAAATGCGTTTCACTAAGGATCTCATTGTGGATGCAAACAGACCTGGTTTGCTGTTTGACTCAGAATCAGCCGCCTTTGATCCCTGACCGCCTCTTTGTATTCGCAAATCGTGCAGCGCATGTTGTTCCTTTACTGCATATATGTCACCGCAAACGGATAACATTGCTTAAAGGACATATTATGAACATTTGAGTCCATCTTAAACCGAGCTAAGATAGAGATCGTCTCATCTTCTATTCTCGACATTTCTCTGGCTCTTCCATGCGCCATCTTTCTTATCTTATAATTTAGGCAACCTTGATCTGGAACTAGACAGAAATTATGGCGAATATTTCGGAAATCGTGGTTTTATCTTCTTCGTTCATCTATGACGTTACAAGTCCCTTGGTCTAGGAACTTTGTCTCTCGAACTCCATTCTTTTATCTGGTCATTTCTGTGGCTACGTTCCAGCTCTTTGTGGTGTTTGAGGGAAAGAGTGTATTCCTTCATACACCCTCCGACGCCTGATTGCGTCTATTATTCGGCGAGTGTGCGGCGACAAGTTGTTTAAAGGAAAAGACTTGGATGCAGTGGCGTTTTGTGGCTGCCTTGGATCCATCGACACGAAGTGCTCGACGTCACTAACAACTAGTGAGGAGAGCTCATTGCAAACCGTTCGGTTTCGTGACAGCCTCATTCTCGCATCGAGGTGTATGGCGATCAGACAACCGCCTAGAAAATCCTGTCGCAGTACGGCTCCATTGTACCAGAACAGTTTTCGTGATGGTGTCGCCAATCGCGTCGTGCGCGATGTTCGTGATGGACGTCAGGTGTATGTGCAATTCTCCACTTTTCCGGTAAGCCAGTCCATAAGCTTTATGAAATTCCTCACAATTCGTATAAATCTGTTGCCATTGCCGACAAGTAATGAAGTTGTTTGTGGAACGTTGTGAAAACTATCGAAATCGCCGATGATCTGACCGAATCTTTGATTTTTTGCTACTTTTTTCAGCGCAGAATAAGTTACTGGAAGGTTAGCGACGTTTCCATGACTTTTTATGGTTACGAAAGGTTCTGTAATTCAGTAACACCTGTATCACCTCTCCTCTTGGTTATCATCGAATGACTCAAGCGAACGCCCACAAATTTCCCATTTGTTCCTGGCGCGTGCAAAAGTAGCCCCATCGGGCTTTGCTTCCTCTGGGAATGCGACGAGTGTCATATTTTTCGTCATGGATCACCGTGAAGGATTCTGACTATCGGGTCGGTGATCTTCCTGTTGCGCGCTTGACACCTCGTGGGACACAGTCGCTGACGACATTTTCCCCTCATTTGTCTTTTGGATGGATCAGCAATCCGAAGCAACCTAATTTCTCAGCTTTTCACAAACGAAGTTGTCGAAAAAATTCCGATGATCTAGCGCGTTTCATCAAATCTATGTGCCGTTCTACCGATTGTATACTACACATTGGTTTACTTGTAATCAAATAGCTGCGAGGTATATGGAAGGCAGGGCATTCTGGTTCGCCTCCAATAATTAAATCAGTGCTTTACTGCGGTGGAGTCCAGCGAACTAGTCGTCACTATAGGAAGTCTCCACAGCCATCGATGGGCACCTCACAAAAACAGTTTGAAAGAGGACCCTCATACGAAAAGGTACAACACTATGATCATTAAGCAAGTTATTCTTTCAGTTCTATTCTTATTGAATTCTTTATTTATGGCCATGATTATAAAACCTTGTCATTCCGGCTCCATAACTCAAGAAATACTTTTGTTTGTTTAACATTTTTTCTATAAAATCACGATTAAAACTTTTTAAGATTAAGGGAGATTAAGGTCAGGTCCGTTTAAGGATATTTGCAGCATAAAACATTGGAGAAGGAAGAGGAGAAGCCATCTATTTTTCTCTTCTTTTTATTGCTCGGAACTGATAGCACTTTTTTATAAAGTATTGCAACAATTCTTCAACGACACAGGTCTTTAGAACTTTGGGAAATCAAAACTAGGATTATTAATTAGTAGAAGACTTGAACTTAGTATGTTGAGCAGATTGCCGTTGGTTACAGTTCTCAATTGCACAGAATCATCGGCTGTCTGTGCAAGAGGCTGCTGCCACACTTGCACGTTCTCATTCACGGGCGACAAGCGGGTCTCGAACAGACGTCTCAACAGACGACGACGTCCCACACAGAACGCCCGTCTCGTCGAACCCTGGGCGAAGACGTTCGTCTGCTCACGTCTCCGACAGTATTGTCTGTGAATGTGGTCATCATTCACAAAACGGTCACCGAATATCAGCACAGAAGCGACGTTCCTCCAACACTGTGGTACAGGTGTGTGTGTGTGTGTCGGTGGATACGCTGTGACGTAATGCATCGTTAACATGGGCAAAGCACCATATAGGACCGAAAAGATGAGTGGTTTCGTAATAATGCTCTTAAGAATGCATAAACTAACTTACCATCGAGTTAAGCGGGGTGATTTTTGTGCATTGCGACCTTCTACTTTAGTGGAGGTAAAAAAAATAAGCACAATAAGGTTGTTACTGAGAACAAATTAGCATGAGGTATTTTTCTGAAATATTTGATCTATACTGGTGATTTTCTCTCCCATTATTCATATTAGTTTTAGTATAATCGCAAATAGCGCTATGGAGTAGGATTTTGCCTATTTTCTCTCCATTTGTGTTTTTAAATTTGGTAGGAATCATAGTGCAAAATAGACATCCTTAATAGTGGAGCCGCAGTAAATGGTTCGCTCATTTCGGTGATGCTTTCCGATTAGAATACAGTTGACCGGGATAAAATAAAAGCGTGCCCTTGAATGACTCGTCTCCGCTTTCATGTATGCATGATTGTTGTCGAACAATGAGTAAACGAAAGATAACCGACTTAATCGTAGTCTGACATGTTTCACTAAAGTATCTGTGAAGTGTTACGGTATTCTTGTAGCGTGATGTTGCTGAAGGAATAATTTGCTTAACGGTTGGTGTTAAACCTCCGGTTTTTTTTTTCAATAGTGCAGGTATAATTCAGCTTCGGAATTTTGGATATGTCGTTGAAAGACAGTGGTTGTCGCTTCGTACACTTCATAGACTACCAGATTTACGCATGAAATGTTGGCTTTGTGTGAAATAATGTGTGTTTGTAAGCGTGGTTGTTTTTGTTTTTAGCATTACTAGATAAAAGTACTAAGCATCTAAGAATTCTATTCGTACAGGATGCCGGTAATCATGTGAATCTTAACCAGCGATCGGCGATTAGCCGCAGTCATTCTGCAGGCGGCACTGAACGCCTTGGATCCAGTAAAGTCAACCGAAATATTAATAGGTTTGTATAATGAATGCAACTTTATTATTTTATGGCAGTATTTCATTAGTTTCGTAATAATTTGAGAACTCCAATATTTCACAGGTTTTCCAATTTTGTGAAATCCGGTATGGAAGCTTATATTCTTGGAGAATCACGAATGAATGGACAACCTGGAGAGAAACACGAAATTATTGTTAGTTATTCTTTTTTAAATAGATATTTGTGGTTTTTTTGGTTTTTGAAATTGAACACCAATTGAAAACTGGATCCCTTTTCTACTCATTGTTGCAACAATTTCAAATCCATCCTTTCTATACCTTTTTTCTCTACAATACAATTTGTAGCTAACACGGCTTTAAATGAGAACATCCATTTTGTGCGGCTTCTACCGGTAAATGTACTCAGTATTTCAAGTGTACATTGTCCTGCGAAAGCATCACGGGTACTGACAGGAGCCAAATGTGCAGGGTGTCGCGCGATCTCGGTACCCCACGCGATTAATTTTCTGTGCTACGCCGGTCAGAACTGCATAAATTAGTCCGATTGTTTTCAGATTAGTGGTCCGTTAATACAGTGGCGTCCAATTCAGCAGTATTATACGTGTACAGTAGATAAACCGAAAAAGGAAACAAAACTGAAAGGACTGAAAAGCTTCATTGCTTATTCGCTTACTTCTTCACTTAGTCGAGTACAGGTATAATTGACAAATTCATGCTTTATACTTTGCATTCTTTTATTGATAAGGTAACACGAATTTAATGGAAAACTTTGTTCTACTAACTTTTCGGCACCTTCTCCTTCTACACGGCCGATTTTATCCGAGCCCATTGTCCACAAATGTTTCTTTTTTCAATGTAGGTCTTCCGAATCGCATCGAGTCGAATCCAGTAGTGAACTGCTCCAATGAACACTTTGACTCCAGTTGAGTGGTGTTTCACTGGATTTGACTCGACGTGATCACAAAAACCCATATAGGAAGAACTAGCAATTGTAAACAATGGAGTCGGATCAAAGCGACTCTGAAGAAGCGGAAGGCGCTGACAGGTTAGCCCAACGAAGTCTTTTTTAAAATCAACTTCGTATTGCTGTATTAATGAGAAAATGCATATTGACTTGCCATGTCGAGGTTAAAGGAAGGTTGATTTTTAAAATATTTATGCTTTGCATTTTTTCATCACGGAGTTTTCTAAGGAAGCGGATTTTAGCTGTAGCAAATTTCCCGGCTTAACAAAATGTGTTGATTTTGGTGTAACACTCCAATCAACTATGCGTCTTACATCGTTGGGAATGTTCTTAAGATTAACCTTACTAGAAAACCGAACGAATGTTGCGCTGTTTTTTTTTGATAGAATCCCTAATGTCCTTTTATTGCGTAGTTATAATTTTTGGCTTAGTGTTGCTTGAGCTCCTCTTCTCTGTCATAGGTTCTTCTAAATGAACATGGTGTTGAGAAGAGCTGTAGATGGATGCAAACCTTTTTGAGGTAGTTCAAACAGAATCGTTCGCATGTCTTTGATAAGCCGCATCATGAAAAATTGTGAATTAGAAATCGCCGATCTCGTATAGTAGCAGTGACGGGCAGGTTAAATTCTATATAGTTAAAGTAGTATTTGATCAATAAATTTACTTGGATTGTTCGCTTTACGCAAGGTTTTTATAGATCGTTTACTCGGCTAAGGTTGCGATGCCTTCGTATTCCTCCGAGTACGAACGACTGTGGACCATCGACTCGGATAATCAGCTCTGAGTGTTTCCCTTGATTTCTTCTTGATGATCTCCTTTCTCTAGTGGCGGGTAGCACAGTGGTAGTGATGTCGGTTATCACGAGCATGGTAGTAGTTCGGTTCCGCTCCGGGCCAACCAAACCTGTCATCACGCCGAGGCCGATAAATTGGTACCGGACCTGCCGGGGAATAAACACTCTGTGCCATCCAAATGGGAACGCTCCAGCCTGGCTATCTCAAGACTCCAGGGAGAATAAGCTCGACTAGCATTCTACGTTATTCAAGATGAAATGAAAATCAAGCAACAACGGAAGCCACACGCAAAAACTTAGGAAACCTTTGTGGACGGTGAATGCGAGGAAACGAATCGAATGTGAGAAGTGCTGGGATCTGCACAGTAGACGTAAAGACGGGTCGTATAAAATAAAGAAAATCTCCTTTCCTTGGTGATGCTGATTACGTAGGACATGTTAAAATGAAGGGTTCATCCCAGAAATATTACAACACACCCTGAGGAGGAGTTCCAAAATTCTAGCTAAAGTAGTTTTACGCGAAAGCCTAGATGGAACTACGTTTTAGGATTGTTTCGTTATTTATTTTATTGGAGCATGTTTACTTATTACGACTGGGTCCGATTTGTTCGATAAAGACAGATTTATTTGTTATAGTAAAATTTCAATTAAGAATAGACCACGTATTCCGTTGCTTGAGTCGTTTAAAACAAGTTTTTTCAGAAATCCAATATATTTTCATGTGTTCTGTTTAAAATCGTTAGGCTGTTCGCACGCAGCAAACTTTTTTTTTTAAATTCACCTAACAGTATTAACGGTTAAAGTCGACGTGATTTAGCGCCGGGGTGATTCTGCCAGAGATGTGAACTCTTTTATTTAGTTGACAAAGAATATAGCGCGGTTAGTGATTTAAATAGCTCGAATCGGCATTTTACTTCCGTGAAATCTTCCATGGTTATATTTCGCTGTTTTATTGATAGAACCCTTGATGTAGTTATACATACTCAGTTTACCTTCATTAGCAGCAAAATCTGAATCAAACCAAACAATTATCCCCTATGAGACCCTATGAGACCATGGTTCTATTCGTTTTACCACTTGTTTTCAGGTCTCCCGTCGTTATAAACATTTCGATTGGTTACACGATCAGCTTTCAGCTAAATACATAATGATAGCGATACCACCTCTACCTGAGAAACAGGTGTCAGGTTAGAAACGATATCACTATGTCAGAATTTTTTGCCAAATACTTTAAACCGACTATGTGGCTATTCTACGGTAGTTGTTATTCGTTTTGTTCTGATTTATAATAAGTCTTGCCTGACATCATGTTCAATTCCACATCCAAAATTTGCTCAGGGCGTTACGAGGATGAACTTATCGATCACCGTAAGCATATTCTACAACTATGGGTGAATAAAATTTGCCGTCATCCCGTACTAAGCCACAGTGAAGTTTGTATTTCCTTCCTCATTTACGTTGTTTTTGTCATGCTTTTATTTGAATACATGTATTTTGCAATCTGTGCCTCTCATAATACTCTCTGGGTAACTTGTAGGTTTGGCTTCACTTTATCACCTGCACAGACGAAAAGGAATGGAAGAACGGCAAAAGGAAATCTGAGAAGGTCATTGAACTTTTTTCCGTCTAGGGGAAAAAAAGACAACGCAGTACTATATCAGCTATTCATGAACCTCTCTTTCAATCTATATTTCAGGACGAATATGTGGGTGGTAATTTCTTTAACTGTGTTACGGTTCCGCAGTCATCTCTGGATATTGGTCACGTGTAAGTTCACTGGATTTTTCTTCCTTCTGCGACCCAATAGGAGGGTGCGTGGCGCAGTGGTCGCAGGCGCTCAGCAACACGCACGTGGAATCGATACCCGCGCCCATGACCCACCAAGCCCTCCATCCCGCCGGAGTCGGCAAATTGCTGCCAGACTTGTCTGGGGGATAGCAGCACTGGCTCTACACATCAGTAGTCCACCATGAGTCATTCTAAAGACCAGATATGCATTCGATCACCTCCAAACGATGCTTAATGAAGTCGAATGCACGACGCATCCCTAAGGAATTGATCAGCGCCGATAGCTTTATCCTTTTTAGCTTCATGTGTCACTATATATTATGTGGATCTCAACATTTTAAAATTCATTTCGTGCCTTTCTACTTGTTATCGTTTAAGATGTCCAGGTTTGCTTGTTGGTCCTAGTGACTTTTCTTCGTTACAAATGTCGTTTTACTTTGGTTGAGTTCATTTTTTCTGAAAACCTATGTTAAGTCCGTTACTTCTTTTTGCGCCCTTCACAGAAAGTTTTTGTGTTTTTTTCGTTCGGAGAGAACATTTCCTTTCACCAATTTGGTAAAAATCCTAGAAGTAGGGGTGCCATGGTTGCCCTAAAGTGTGTCAAGCCTGTGGCGATAAAGTATGTCACGGTATCGCTAGCCATTACGTTTAACGCGTCGTTCACTGTTATTACTCATCTTATATTCACACATCCCTTAATGCGCTTAAAATTGTCTTACCAACACCAGTCAGTTGAAGAGATTGATTTCAGTGAGCGTCAAATGGACAAATTTCAACGAAGTGTGAAAACAACCGAGGACGCAATGCGGGTAATGCAAGAACGACTGACCGTATTCCAGAAACTCTTCGTGGGACGTACGTTTGGGAAATTTTGGCTTTTTCGCTTGGAACTTGTAGTGTATTTGACGCTTTACAGCGGTAAAATCAAATTGGCAAAAGATGGCTTTAGCATTTGTGACTTTGGCGCAGTCATTCCACACTGATGATCATCCTGGTAGGTTTCTTGCATTTTCTTTTTCGTTCTGAGGTACTGGAGATGCACAAACAGTTTTAAAAAATTCAAACACCAATTAATTCAGGTAGCAATCTTAGATGCGAGCATTGAGGATGTATGAATAGACTAGATTTGTCAAATAAGCAGCGCTTGGATTTATTTGAAGTTCCTAGGCGATCAAAAGCAGATTTAAAATCATACACCTTTAATCCTTAAAATAGGTTATGAGCAAATAATGCTGATTTCAAGATTTTCTCCTCATATTTTATTGGAAACTCTATTCTTGAACGTTTTCGATTTCGCTACAAATTTGAGGGAAATGAAGAGTTGGGTACAGTATTCAACTGTCTTATATCAACCATAATGATGCTGGGACATTTGCAGAACTTGGACCCTAGGCCAGATTCGAACCCAGTATTACCATTTCCGGGGCTCACATGTTACCCATTGCCCCACAGAGGCCTTTGCTTTGCCTTCCTCTCAACCATTCTTTTTACTCTAACGGTGCCAACAGCACCTTAACTGGGTTCAATGCGAGGTGATTGCTGATGGCACCATTAGAATAAAAAACTGTCCGAAGAAAAAGCAAAGCAAGACCTTACTGATGCAGTGGGTAAGACGTGAGCCCTCGGAAAGGTTAATTGCGAGTTCGAATATGGCCTGGGATCAAAGTTTTGCAGGCATTTCACCGTAATTGGGGTTATATTTTACATAATACTCTGCCATGGAAACGTAATAGGTAGTAAATAAAGCATATATTATCATACATCCCTCACGGTTTGCCTTGGAACTAGTAGTTACACCGATTCTGTTTTTTTTCATCTATTCTGTGACTATTTGAAAGTGTGGACGTTCAGGAAGTAATCGTATGGTGGAAGCACTGAAGCAGACTGCACATCATTATCATCAGATCGGTAACGACTTCGAGCAACATTCGCGTAATGATATGGAACCAGTTGTAGAGAGTCTCTATTCATTCAAAGGTACCATTCAAGCGGCACCCGACATCATGCATGTGCATAAGGTTAAATCTTAGTTCTTTTTTATTTCATTATAAAACTCGTTGGAATCACGACGACTTTTCTTTGACAGTCCGCTCTATCAGCAACAGCTCTTCTAGTGGAGCATTGGTGCATGAGATATACCGTCCATATTTCACAAGAATAGGTCTATTTTGTTTTATTCATTTGCATGAACCGTCGTCCCATATTGTGCAGGTTCAAGAACTTCTCTCGCACGGATTTAAGCCTTGAATCGATCGTCTGTGAAACCCTTCAGATTCGCTTGTGGATTCGTCTCCCACTGGATTATTTTATTTTGTTCATAAATGTCGTTGAATTTTGGTGGAATCGATTCTCTCTAGAATTCTGGAATGGCTCTGTGGAGCTCTCTAAGGCGCTGTGCGTTTTCGTCATTACGCGTAGCCTTAGGTTTGTATGAATTGTAGGGTGCGTCTTTGAGATAAATCTGGTGCCAATTTTCCGACTGAAAGTACACATAAAGTTGCGACACATGAAAGGTCTAGGTTCTAAGTGCTATGTTTTTTTCTACAACCGAGTTTGTCAGTGAGTGTATGGACCATTACAATCAGTACACTTACCAACATTTGGATGTTCGGAAATCGATGCAGAACTGTCAACATGCATATCTAAAGTGGCACATCTGAGCTCAGAACAAATTTTATCAGTAGAAATGAAAGCCATTAGAATCAACACATTCTTGCCAGTGAAAAACACGCTTACTAATATGTATTGTTTGAATTTCTCGATTTTCCAGAGTTTTTCGGCCGACGATGTTGTTGAAGGCAGTTTTGGCGTCGACATCGCTTCTGATGTATTTCTTGCACAGAAAGTTGTTGAGGGGCTTCAATAAGTGGTAATTGATAGGCAAGAGTTCCGATGAGTATTGTGAATAAGGCAAATTTCACATCCCAGCTCGTTCAATCTTTGCAATCTCGCCAATGCGACGAGTGGTCTCACGTTGTCTTCGAGAAGAACCATTCAACTCGTGCGGCATCCGTTCGCTGAGGTTCATCGACTTTCCGATTTTCTTCAAATGCTCCTAAACAGAGCTTAAATCGAATTCTGAAAGTCCTCGAACACTTTTGCGTGCGTTTTCTCCAGTCAAATCCTTCAACTCATCATTATCAATAACAGAGGAACGTCTACGATTTTCCTCGTCTTCAAACTGTAATTTGCCACGAGGAAATTTTTTTGAAACCGCAAAGAGAAGTTGCAATGTGCATTCAATAACACTTTCTTGGCCTTATACCTCATTGATGTTCTCCTTTAACGGAATTACTTCCTTTCCCTTTATCAACGCAGGTCAGAGATATTGCTGTTCTTATTGCAGTTGGTTGATATCTCACAACTTTTCACTCACATCTCACTCTTCTTGTAGTCTCGCCCGTTTCAAATTTAATGGTCTTGAAATCTCGCCAAGCCGATCGCTTCCTCGTACTCATCTCTAGAGCTAAGTCGTTCGCCATGTTGATTTCCCGATTTATGAAGACATAACTGAAGCATCCGGAGATGTTCGTTCTTTTCAGCGTCAATGGGCATAGGAAACCAATCCGTTTCTCAAGGGCATAGTCTTTGTGAGATTTAGTCAAAAACTCTTTGTACAGGTTTTCTAAAAGTTGGCAGGCATTCGTTCCGCTTGGCTAATGTTTGGCATTATAAGAACGATGTTATCAGCAAAACGAAGACAGTATAATTGCCGAATTTCACTCCCACATTGTTCCATTCCAATTCCCGCATGACGTTCTTGAGGGTGGTGGTAAATAATATTAGCGAGATAGTATCGCCTTGTCTAACTCCTCTTTTGACGTTGATGTTAGTATCGTAAAAATATAAACAATTCAATACATGAATGAAGTTACGACCATGTTTTAACTGCTGCAGCTCCTTGAATTCTGCATTCGGTAAAAATTTGCAAATGGATGCAATTTAATTATTACGTTGATCATTTTTTGTTAGTATTATATGATGAGGGGGATAGCGATTTAACTATAAGAACTGGTAAATTAAAGTTAAATTGGGGAAGGGATTGCGCATTGGTTAGTGATTGATCAGAAAGCAAAAGGCGCTAGTTCGATCCTCGCTCCAACGCTTTCCTCCAACCCACGTGGGAACGAATTAGCCCTGTTATCTCCAGGACTGCAAGAAGAATTGGCTCGACCAGCATTCTGTGACATTCATAGAGAAAACGGAATCCTCAAGAAGCAGCTCACACAACAAGCAAAATGTTCGAGGAGCATTGCGGATGTCAGATGAGAGAAAACGAATCGAATGTTAGTAATGCTGGGATCCGCGCAGAATGTGTGATGATGGGTCGTGTAAAATGAAAAGTGCAATAATTGTGAAGTTTGTTAGAATAAACTAAGAAGACATAGGCTTTGAATAGTCTCTGGCCAGAAGAAATAATCCATTGTGAGCGCATTTCAGCAGGCCATTCAAAAATACCGCGAAAACGAAGGAAAACTTTCTCACGCGGACGCAGAACGAATTAAGCGACGCGTCGATTCAACGAGCTATGCTGTATTAGCGGAGATGAACCATTTGAATACAGAAAAGGTGAGTTATCAGAAGTTTGTGGTTACACATTCTTTTTGAATTCTTGATCATTTTCGGGTTGTCCGACTAGTTGCGGATTCTTTATGCACCAGATTTCTGATGTTGTGAATAGCTTGTCGCCACAACGGAAGTGATTCATGGTATTAGTTTATTTTTAGCTGCTCTTCCGAACGGAAATTTCGAACCCTTTCATTTGTGTGATCATGGAAGAGAATGATCCCCAATGTATATCATAATGAAACACCCAAGAACCTCCTTTTTCCTCAGCTCTTATGGCGGCTAAACTATTGGGTAGCAATGAATGTTGCTCCCACGACCGACTTTCTATTAACCTCGGCATTGATCAAGTAATTCTTCGTGTTTTTGTTGAGCAAACGCGAGGTGTTATTGTTCCTTATTCACGGATAAGCTGACGTTTCGGCGGATTTCGCCTTCCTCAGAGCCGCTTTCTATGAGGTTTCCACTAAGTATGTCATGTATGGTTTCCACTATGACATACTTAGTGGAAACCTCATAGAAAGCGGCTCTGAGGAAGGCGAAATCCGCCGAAACGTCAGCTTATCCGTGAATAAGGAACAATAACACCTCACGTTTGCTTAACAAAAACACGAATGAATGTTGCGTTGCACAGATGTCCTTTCGTTGCGTAGAAAAGTATTAGTGGTTAAGTACGAACATGGAAGTAAAGGTATTAGTGAACATGGTTATATGGCGGAACGACTAACAGTTGTAGAAAACTTTGTTGACGAGACTTATTTCGGCTGTTCGAGGTGCCAGTTTCAATGAATCACTATTAGTCATATCGTCACTTTTTCTTAGTGACAAGAATTCTTTTACTTATCATTCTTTCCTGATCCTGTTTATTTGTGTACTGTATGTATATTAATGATTACTAACATTCTTCAGATAGAGGATGTGCGAGTGACGATGCACAGCTACTTGAAGCGGCAAGCGGATTTTTATCAAAACTTGGCGAACAGCCTAAACGACATGGCAAAACTCTACGAGTTCTAAGTGCTAAATGAATGGTTAAATCACTTTGTGATAATGTTGCAATTTCTTTTCTGTTGTGTGTCTACTGGAATCGTTTGTGCTATGACGATGTGAAGTCAACGACCTACAGAAGCCGAAAGCTGGTTGTAGTTGCTAGTACAGGTTTTTACCGTATAACTGACCAAAAATATATATTGACCGAACCTTATCATATATGTTTTTGTAGCATGATTTAAAACCCAGCCACATCAACAAGTGTCAAGTGACCATTGTGTTTTCTAAAACTCCCTGTAAAAAGAACGAAATAGGCAATGAGTTTGTACCTTTAGTTACTCGAACTGTGGTGACACGAATTACTTCATCTACTGATATTGTTTTCATTTACAAGTGACCTACACCACCTCTTCATCAATGCATAGGGAGTCACGCGTATAGCTGGAAGATTTTGTATAACTGTATATCATTCTATCGCATTTTGTCTTTCCTAAGTGATTCCACGCAGTGCTCTCTGGGACCTCATTAGTAGAGATCATCTATGCGCATGATAAAATTCGTTATCCCTGGCATCCAGGTGTTCTTTACGCTAGCTAGAATATGAAGGTTGAGATGGCGCTTTGTTCTCTTCGACATTTATAGGAATGTGTAGAATATAAGCTTGTAATAACAGCCATGAAATATTTTGACCACTGTCTGCTTCTTATACTTAGTACGTTTGACCGCTCTTCTACGCATCATACCCTGAACACCGACTTCGGTTCGAATTATTTGCCATCAATTACACGTACATTCACTAACAATTTGTAGCCAGAATTATAACTGAAAAGAATGGGTGAGTAGTAGTAATGTAAAACTCGTACAATGTGAACGTAGAGTGGTAAAGAGTTATGCATCCAATGGGATGCATCGCGGCTGTGCATTCACCTAGTATGTCGACACGAACACAACACTTCTGACCGGTTCGTATGTATCGTATTCTCGGGAGTTCGTTTCAGTTAAGAATGTGTTGTTAGACATCGTTCACATCTATCTAATGCGGTATACTGATTCATGAATCAAGTTATCGTTTTGCTTGTGTATCGCTGCCTTATCAGTATTCACATCTGGAATCCACTGTCGTCTTCTCTATTTCTTTGTTACCTCTGACGATCTGATTTTGTACCGTTGTTTCCTATTGGCTTCATAATGTGATGACATCATTATTAGCAGTCGGACCAATAAGATTTTCTTTGATTTCCTTCTTAATACCAGAGATGTTGCATCGTCTGAGCCATTACGGTGACTACGGTCTATAATGAAAAGGTTCTGTGCATTCGCGCATTTTTAGTGTCAGATAGAACAACATCAGTTTACTTCTACTCATATTTGGGGTAACATCAAGCTAAAAATTGAATGACTGGAACATTCATATTGAAATTTCGTGGTACTGGTTTATTATTCTTATTTGCACGCTTCAAATAATTTCGTCAAGGTTACGTTTTTCAATTACTAAGGTAACACAGGTTGGTAAAAAAGATGCTAACAAAAAAGCTAACGTTTCGACGTCTTCGCCTTCTTCAAAGCGGATGATCGAGTTGTTCGTCCTCGCGTTGTGGGTGTTAGTAGTGGTATCGCGTCGATCCTTCGTGAGTGCCGTTAATAAGGCAACCTCAAACTGCAGTATCCCTTTGTACAAGACGGTTCTTAGCTGTTGGACAGACGACTACAAAACTTATAACGCATGCATGGAAGACCGTGGATCGTCGACTTGGATCATCTGTGTAGAAGATGAAGACGTCGAAACGTTAGCCGAATTAAAGTTGTATAACAGTGCCGTGTAGCTGAACAATCTAAAAGAAAATGAGAGAAAAGAGAAATTAACGTTTTATGACGAAAGGTAGAAAATATGGTAGCGAATTTTCCTTTAACATGATAGTACTATTTTATAAGAAAAAATATGACTGAAATCTGAAATATTTCATAACTGCAACCCTCGTAATTTAAACTCCTTAAATTAAATTAATAATAGCAAAAATTTAAATAAAATTCAAATTCAAATTTAAAAGAAGTGAAATCCCTTTGACGGCAGAATAGGCAGAACAATTGGGTTTTTCGCTATTGGAGAAATGAATCGTGAAGTAGATGTCATTTGCCAATTTCTGCCGCCACACACGCTTTTCACTTTCAACACAACTCCGGAATGAATCCTAAGGGAAAAAAATTCTGAAAATTTTTTTACAATGTTATGACTTGACAATTAACAATGTAACGATTTGTGAAGTGGAAATGCGTTTATGTGTGCGATATTTGAGCTGTGTGAAGCTCTGCTACGCTGGCATTTCTGATTTGCCCTTACTCCTGACCTATGATTTTGGTTACCTCTGTATAAACAAATACACGATCGATAAGTAAAGATGAGATGAAGAACGAGAAACAAAACTAACAATAGAAAAGTATTTTCTGCAACGAAATACTTAAGTGGTAAGCTGAAAAAGGAATACCATATATCGCCAGCTAAAAGCTATAGTCGGGTGGAAGCGTGACAGATTAAGACTCAACAGCGATTCTTAGATATCCTCTGCAATGAGTAACTTACTGCTAGTGCTGATTAGAGCTGTCACTGCTAGAAACAAGGGGGGCGCGCGTGGCGCAGCAGTCGGAGGCACCTCGCAATACATACGTGGAATCGGTTCCCGCGCCCATGGCCCACCATGCCTTCCATCTCTCCTGGGTCCGCAAATTGGTACCAGATCTGCCTGGGAGGATAGCAGCACTGGCTCGAAACACCGGTAGGCGACCGCGAGTCATTGTACAGGCCAGATATGCATTCAATCACCTCCGAACGATGCTTAATGAAATCGAATGCACGGCGCATCCCTCAGGGATTGATCAACACCGAAAGCTTTAGAGCTTTTATTGCTCGAAATGAGGTTCTTCAGTTGGAGGACTTTGTCGCACTTTCTAGAGTGTATATTGTAGAATCTATGATAGCCATGGTCTATCGCAGTCCTCATGGCAATGGGAAGCTGTCTCATAATAGAACAACACCGACACAACAGGTAATTGTCATTACTATAGCGAACAAAAGAATTCCAACATCGAACCAAATAACAATAAAAAAACTCGGATATTAGTCACCTCAATTACCCTACACGAGAGACGACCTTGGCAAACTCGACACTACTAAAAAAAGCCTAAAGTCCTCGGCGTTGACCAATCCCTGGCGGATGTGCCATGCATTTGATTTCACCAGGTATCGTTTGAGGTTACTGAATGCATGTCTGGCTTATATATTGACTCGTGGTGGCCTCCCGATGTATCGAGTCAGTGTTCCTACCCTCCGAGACAGGTTTGGTACCAATTTGCCGACCCCGGAGGGATGGAAGGCGTGGAGAGCCTATAGGGCGGGATCTATCCCATGTGTATCGCAGGGTACCTATAACCATTGCGCTACACGCTTCCCAATGAACACTACTAGCGCTAGCTTATTGGCCGATTTATCGACAACATGGTTCATGGGTAGTCCCACACATTTTGCTTGTTTACTTCGGTATTTTAGGCTTTTATTAGCTCTAATTCTGATTACAAACAACATCAGAAGTTTTTTTCTCTAGTATGTGCCATATATAACTCCTATTGCGCTTAAAGGAAGAAAAACTAACCTATTCGATAAGTGTCGTTGTGGACAAATGACGATAATTTCTCGAAATTAGAGGGAGAGGAATGGAAAGATTATAGAAATTCCGTTTCGGTCTAAGTTCATACATGGTTTTCTTCAAAATCTCATTTCTTCCCTTATGTAGAACGTTGAAAAATGGTGCTCCGACTACGCATGAGTTAAAGTTATCTCACATGTTGGACGTGAGTTGATTTCAACTCATAGTGGCGAGTTGGAATTGTTGGTACAGATTTATTTACACTGATTTTTATCCCTGTTCACTATTTTATGGCACAAATTTTTCTTAACTGTGGTATATCTCATCGATTGGTTTAAACATCCCTGGAATTACACTATAAGACGATAAAGGATAAAGCTCTCGGCACTGGCCAATCCCTGATGGATACGCCATGCATTCGATTTCATTAAGTGTCGTTTGGAGGTGATTGAATGCAGTGGCCTACCGATGCATCGAGCCAGTGCTGCTATCCTCCCTGACAAGTCTGGTACCAATCTGCCGACCCTGGAGGATGTAAGGCTTGGTGGGCCATGTGAGCGGGGATCGATTCTATCTGTGTATTGCAGGGTGCCTCCGACCACTGTCTCACACGCTCGAATAACACTAGGCGTAGACATAACACTACTAGATCCTACACTCGGTAAAATGTAAAGCTGCACCTGTCAGGTGATTAATGCTAGCGTAGAAGTGCATTCATATTTCCGCTTCCACAGAGACTGTAACTAATCTGCTTCTAAAGTCTTCCGATAAAGGAACGCAGAGTTGCTCTTCACCTCCACCGTTGTACTTCCACCTCGTTCTGCATCCTCGGAAACACTATAAGTTATCAGCTCGTTTAGATAAGGGTTGGAACACAGGATATACAGAAATGCTAGGGTATACTTGACACAGGCGCGTATGGAGCAGTGGTCAGTGGAGCCCTGCAATACACATGCGATCTATCCTGCGTCCCAGGCTAACTAAGCTCTCCATTACTCCGCAGTCGGCATTGGTAACAAAGTTCTCTGGTAGAATAGCAGCACTGACTCGATACATCGGTAGGCGACCATGAGTCATTGTAAAGGCCAAATCTGCATTCAATTACCTCTAACGATGCTTAACGAATTCGAGCGCATGGCGCATCCCTCATCGATTGATCAACGCCGAGAGCTCTATCCCCTTTATTCTTTACTTGACAAACGTTGCTAAATCGGCTAGCATAGGTCCAGTGTATCGTAGCTAAATAGTAAACCAGGCTCCTTTCATCACGTATGGAAGTCCAAATGTTCAAAAAACATGGAAGGATACACAGAATATTTTTCACTGTCCCCTTACTAGACATCACATGTGTCACACTGTTCGGATCCTAACACTTCTTGCACTCAATTCTTTTCCGTACAACCAATATCCACGAAGGCCTTGGAACGTATTTTACTTGTAGCCTCGGTTTGTTGCTTGAGGATTTTTTCGTCTTTGTCACGCACGAATCTCGAGGAATGCTGGTCGAGTTGATTGATTCCCCTTGGCAACGTGAAATAGCCGTCCTAGTGCTAGGGTTTCGCTATGTGTGGCCGGGTCGAAATAGTGCCTGTGTAGATTGCGCCGTCAGCGTAATGGATGGAATCATTATTACAGAGCTACCCGTTTCCTACACAGAATATTGAAAAGAGAAAGCGCTAACGAACAAAGAAGAACCAATCAGTAGAGCGAAAAGCATGTATAACCGGTACATTCATGGTCGACCGAAACCTGTAAACTTAGAAAACACCCCCACGACCGACTTTCTATTAACCTCGGCATTGATCAAGTAATTCTTCGTATTTTCAGCCTATTCGTGAATAAAGAATAAAATAACACGTCGCGTTTGCTCAACAAAAATACGAGGAATTAGAAAATACCCGTAGGTTTGAATAGAGCGCGCTTACGCATCATTATTAGTGCAGAGCTATTGATTATAGCATTCTTATCCATTAGGAAAAGGCCAGATTTGCCCGTAGTTGTCTACGTTGTAATTCCTTAAATACCGGATATATCTTAGCATGCTATACTTATTGATGTAATATTTTACGCCATGCAAATAACTTTGTGCTTACGACCAATTTAAGGATTGTACTTCGTTGCGAAAGGCACTAAAAATGAAGGACCTCTCGTTGGGGGTTAAATGCTTCTTCTCTAACAAACCGATCGTTTTGAGGGAAATCTAGCATTCGACGTGGGCGAGTAGAGCCTTTGTTTGTCGCCCTTCAAGTCGTCGATCACTTAGAGGACTGGTGATACTGACGATATTGTTACTTTCACTCTAAAACCACGTTTTTAACGGCTGGTACAATCTTTTGTGATACTAATAACACTTGAAAGATCTTTAGTGAACTAATGAGAGGTCCAATAAAGTCACCTTAAAACGTCGATAGAAGTGAATCGTTTGCGACCTTGGACTGTCATCCCTCTCATTAGTGGATCGTTAATGTTTCTTTGGACAGATGAACGATAAAGAATAAAAAGGGTGAAGCTCTTGGCGCTGATCAATCCCTGGGGGATGCGCTATGCATTCGACTTCACTTAGCACCGTTAGAGGTGACTGAATGCATATCTGGCTTTCACAATGACTCGCGATGGCCTACTGATGTATCGAGCCAGTGCTGCTATTCTCCCATATAAGTATGGTACCAACTTTGCCGACCCTGGAGTGATGGAAAGCCTTGTGATCCACCAGCGCGGGGATCGATCTTGTGTACTGCAGGGCGCCTTCAATCACTGCATTATATGCTCCCTCCTCTTTGGATAGATACGATGTTAAATTCGCATAAAAGCTTTAATACGCCTGTTATTTATGTGGATTTCAGTTGGTTGAACAGTGGAATTTGAAATAAAAACAAGAACGAATGTAAATTTAATGAAATAACTATATGGAAACATAGACTACTTTGCTGACATTTCGGATTTCATCCTTGATTTCGATCCACGGTACGGTCCTCATTTCCACCACTGATATCAGTTGTAGAATCCTTTTCGCAGGTTAGTGTCGTATGCTGGTTCATTCGAACTCAATTCGACATTGTTTTGGCTGTTCGTGGGATGGTTGAGCCTCGATAGTATGAAATTTAGCATATTAGTCTTCCAGGTGGGTTCTTTTTTACTCGGAATGTTCAATGGTGGCTTCGAAATTGACTTCTAACTGTTCACTAGTACAATACTAACCTTTGTAACATATCGTGCCTTGTGTAAATACGAAACTAGATGGTCAAACAGACCGGGATGTTGATTATCTATGGCGAGTCCATATGGTCGTCGATACTAAATATCCTACTTTGATATATGCTGTCCACGGATAGTATTTTAAATTAAAATCAAGACTAGCTGAGAGAACGGTGAAACGAAGGACCTACCTGGTGTGGTGGTGAACGTGTTAGTCCTCGGAAAGTATAATAACACGTTCGTTCCCCACCGCAGCCACCTGCGGTCCTGGATTTTGCAAATATCTCGGCATCATTGTGGTTTCCTTAAAGTAGTTTCCACGACCGATTTTCTGTTAACCTCGGCATTGATCGAGTAATTCGCTGTTCTGTTGATGTCTGTTTATCTGTCTATCTCTGTTCTCTGTCTATTATCTGTTCAACTTCATGTTTTCTCATTAAGAGAACAGTGAACTATTTTAAACTGTTCATATATTTTCCAAATTGAGTTCATCTAGCACTTGAGTTGTATTTTTACATTGTTTGGTATATAAGGGGATTTTTAAGGATGTAAATAGAACTTGAACTTGTTGCTTAACATCGTTTCAATTAAGTAAACTCTTGTCAGCATTCTGTGAAGACGTTTTCGACAGCAGGTGTGACAAAGTCTCGTTGTCGATTTGCGTTGCCGATGAGATTCCGGCACTCTCAGAATGAGTCAAATGTAGGTTTTTATCCAATTGTTAATTATATCTGTGCTAATAATAGTAGTCCTCTAAACGGTTTACCGCCTCATCGTGGCTGGGAGGTATTCCTGGATGCTGGGCTACGATGTATATCAAGGGCCCATCTCCCCAGTAGGGCCTCCCAACCGAGAAGGACTCCGGCGCTTTCTTCAGGAAGCCCAGTTAAGAGTAAACCAATACAAGGATCCACCACCGTTCTGGCATCAAACTAGTCCTACGGTGCTAAATCTTCCTCTGATCCACAAAGGCGGGGACTGCCTGTGCTGGTGACGACCTGAGGCACACTTTGGTTAGGATAACCCCGGGAGTCTAGAACCACAAATGCTAGACCATTAAAACCCTGAGATGGTGGAAATTATGCCGGGGCCTGCACAACCAGTGATTACGGCCATCCAAGTGTCAAAGTAAGTAATTAAAGTTATTATATTGTCGGTGATAGAAATATTAAGGCAGAAACCGTAATGAATTCGAAAGAACCTGATGCTTTCATACGTTGTGAAAAGCTGCAGTTCGACACTAGTGATGGCCAGAGTATCGATGTAGAGGCTGTGTTTCAGGTACCACTTTAATTTCCCTGGAAGTGTGAGTTGCTCAAGACATTAAGTTGCTTAGGGCTTAAATAGTTTTTAAAGTCTTCTAAGTATCTATTTACGAATATTTCATCTTCAATAACCGTGTGTGACCGTTCAGGTATAAGCTTGGAGTCGATAATTTCCACTATGCAATATCCCAAACACTTTAAACCATGGTTTATTAAATGAATTGAATCGTAACCGTCAGAGCAGACTTCTTATGATTTCTTGTTGCAAAATTGGATGTAACGTTTCATTGAAGCAAATTTCAGGACACAATGCCGTCAGGATCTCATATAGGTGCTGTGCTGGCCATTCATGGATCACCGGGATCTCATAAAGATTTCAAATATGTGATGCCATTGCTTCAGGCGAAAGGAATACGATTTGTAGGCGTTAACATGCCTGGATATGGTCTTACTCCAGGTTTATCTTTGAGTTTAGATGTCGATATCTTTTCTACATTCCTTCCTTAGTTCTTTGAAACTTTTTTCTGAGATTTTTACCTCATCTTGTGGTTGTTATCGTGAATAGGTAGCTGTTAGTTCAATTGGGAAAATGTCATCTTACATGTACAGTGGTACTGTTGCCATTTTCTTATTTAAGGTGACCCTGTTCTACGGTATGACAACACGGAAAGAAACAACTTTGTACATGAATTGATTGCTCGAATCGGAAATCTCGAACGACTAGTTGTGCTTAGTCACAGCAGAGGGTCCGAAAATGCGATTGGAGTTGCAGTAAGGAACATGGTGCGTGAATGATTGCGGTCTTAACTCTGCAGATTTTCTTCAGTTTCGTCCAATTCAAAAATTTCCTTTTTTGGTCTTTGTACGCCTTGTTAGAACTTGTCGATGTTTATAGTGTAGCGGTGCTCATCACTTATTAACATAAAATTTCTCGGCTAGCAATTAGCATAATAGTAATTTCAAAACTGACTTTCTTTCACTTTTGTATGGCTAATCAATACTCATTCTTTTTTGATAAACTTGCACAAGGTTGACAAACAATCCTTCTCGGTTAACTTCTCGACGTTCGGCTCTAATGAAGACGAAGACGTCGAGATGTTAGCCGAATAAGGATTGTTTACCAACTTGGTGCAAGCTTATCAAAGAGAAAATGCATGTGCAAAATTTACCGTTCAGGATAAGCTAGCCGGTTTAGTACTTCTGAATCCTACTGGTCTTTCTCCTCATCGCGCTGTGCGTCCTCGTTGGGTGATTCCGTTCGTACTGTGGCTCTATTCACTCGGACCCACAGCTAAAAGAATTGTTCACCTCTGCTTGAAATTATGTTAGTTTTCTGAAAATTATGTCCTCATATTCTTCCTACATTTGTTTTAGTTTATAATAGTGTCCTGGGCATTCGAATGGACTCTGGAGAGAGGGCAGCAATTTGCCTTAAAACGATGAATAGTTTGGAATTTGAGGAAGGCTTACGACCACTTATCAGCACTATCAATGACAGTCCAAATGTAGGAGTATGTTTGGTAGACTATTTGGTCTGCTAGCATTAAAATATTCTTTAGTGAGTTTCCTTTATTGTGCAGAAGTACTGTTCAATACAGGCACGAGTACTCGTGGCGTATACTGGAAAGGACTTCCTTATTGAAACAAGTGTTTCACGAAAATTCGTTCATTCATTCCATGACTGCATAGAAATAGTGAGACACGTTGATTTTTACCATCCTTTATCCAACAGAGATGATATTTCACAAATCTGGTTTCATTTTTCTTTAGACTTGCGAAGAAAAGGGCGATTCATTTGAAGATAGTGCAGTTCATCAAACATATGATTTGTTTTCAAGTGGTGCTAAAGCCGTAAGTGTATATGTACTCTGTTTGTGTTTTATTTGATTATCAGCCTGTAAATTCCTTTAGACTACAAGTTCTTATTTTCATTAACTTAATATTTTTATCAAACCCGTTGACGGGTGATTGATGATGACACATGTAGATAGAAAATTAGCTGAGTGAAAGGCAAAGCGGAGGATCCGCATGGTGTGGTGGTGAGTGCGTTAGCTCCCGGAAAGAGTAATAGCATGCTTGCACTCCACCGCAGGCACTTACGGTTTAGAGTTTTCCAAATATCTGAGCTTCATTATGGTTGTATTCCACATAATACCGTGCCGTGAAACATCGTAGTTAGCAGTAAATAAGAAGGTTAACATTGTGAATATTTTTAGCCAGGAATTTTAATGTTCGCACAAACACTGTCTTCTTATAAATATGGATTGCTTTTCTGTATACGTTATTATACTGGAATAAGTTCCCTTCCAGGTGTCCATCTTTTTCCAAAAAGATGGGCATTATCTTCAGCGTGATCGAGCTCGATATGTTGCCAATAGTATTGAAGCAATTTTACAGACATGTTTTGCTAGTAATCGCTCGTAGCAGCCTAATTAAAGGTTATTAAGTCGTTATCACCTTGACCTAGACAATTGTTTTCGATGTCTGCTTGTTTTCTTAGTTCGGTGCTATTTATAATCCACTGTTGTCAATGAAAAAGCGTGTATCTTCAGAGTAACAGATATTAGCTGTTTCTTGTTATCTGTAACTCTCACGTTCTTTGTACAGGCATCAGATTATAAGTAAGATCCTAATAAGTGATGTTAATTTTCGTTTGCTGAATAGAAGCATATCTGGTTAGAAACTGTTTTGTCATGATAATTAGCACGTTAGTTCCTCGCTTGAACTGAGTGCATACCGTATTATGGGGCGCTGATACTCATTGGTTCATCTCTTATCGAAAATACCATCTTTTCCACTTTATGGAGATTTTGAGTATTATCATTGTTCGGGAATGTTCTCTGTGATCATCTCTTAAACTGCATTTCAGACGTTTCAGATGTTTGCGAATGCTGTTGTTCAGATCTGCACTTCTTTATACGGAATGCTTTCAATAAAGAGTACCTGTATTTCTTAGTCACCGTTAAGTTTTTTTGTGCAGTTGCGTTACTAAGCAAGTTTCTAAAGTAAAAAGCGTCTACCTTCCAATGTTTTCGAGTTGTTTCCCTACTTGATAGTAATGGTATTCAGGTCATAGCAGTAAAACTATAACGGGCACCTTTCTCAAATGCAGAACTTATTCGCTGGCACTAAATCATGAGTATTTCTTTCAGTAACGACTCTTTTCCCTTTAGTAGCAGCCTGTATCGGATACCTCCCAATAATTTTCCACCTCATCGTTGCTGGGAGTTGTTCTGGGCCTCCCAAGTTGAGGGGGAATCTGGCATTTCCATCAGGACGGCCAGTTAAGAGTCAACCAATACCAGAAACCACTACCAACCTGGTAAGTCGTATAGTGGCAAATCTCCATCTGATCCACAAGAGGCGAGTGCTTGTGATGGTGACAACCTGGGCCAAACTTTGGTTAGGGACTCCGCGAACTACAATAGCTAGACCAGCAAATCTCCGAAGAATGGAGGTCATGCTGGGGCCCGCACAGCTAGTGAAGATGGGCCATCCAGGTACACAAGTAAGTTTTACCTCTAGTCTAGGCATACACATGTTCCTGCGCCCATCCAAAGGCTAACACCTAGAGAATGTGTCGTCGGGTTGGCTTTTATACGAAACTGACAAGGCATGGTGATTCAAGATTTGCAACAAAATAGGCTACCAAGTCATGGCGCGGTTAGACGTGCCCTGCAATACACTTGGGTTCGATCCCGCGCCCTAAACTATGCTTGATGAAGTTGGGTGCATGGTGCATCTCTCTGGTATTGATCAACGCTGAGAAGTTCCTACAAGGAGCAGTAATGTAAGGAGTATTTTTTAGATCGTTTCAACGGTTTTCGTGCAACGTGTTATTTATATTTCAAGCAATGGAGTTTTTATGGGTGAATTGCGAACTCTACGATGCTATATTGTATGCGATCCTAGGTAAGAATTATGAATTCGATGTAGGTAGGGAAATGTTGATAAAAAAGGGATAAAGTTCTCGGAGTTGATCAATCCCTAAGGGATGCAGATGAGCCATGTATTTCACTTCATTAAGCATCGTTTGGAGATAATTGAATGCATATCTGACCTTTACAATGACACGCGGTGGCCTACCGATGTATCAAGCTGCTATCGTTCCAGACAAGTCTGGTAACAATTCACCGACTCCGGAGGGATGGAAGGCTTAGTGGGCCGTGGGCGCGGGGGTCGATTCCACGTGCGTTGCAGGGCGCCTCCAACCACTGCGCCACGCCCAGGGAATTTTGATAATCAACATAGATCATATTTCGAAGGTGTACTTCGTATATTCTTGTAAGTAAGGATTATGGATTCTGCGTAAGAAGCTTTTCATATTTGGAAGTACAAATTTCATGCAATGGAAATCATTTCTTTGTATGATTTCGCAGAGGTGCTAATTGCAGAAGTTGTAGTTCCTAAGTAAACGTTAAGTGAAAGTTCTACAATATCAGCAAAAGGTTACGAGGATATGAGTTAAGAATGCGCATTGTATCTAAGCCAACTATTGCCACATACTGGAAATATCTCCACGCAAGTTTGCCTTAGGACGAGTGTGGCGCACTGGTGGGAGGCGCCATGCAACATACACGTGGCATCGATCCCAGCGCCCATGGTCCACCATGCTTTCCATCTCTCCAGCGTCGACAAATTGGTACCAGACTTGTCTGGGAGGATAGCAGCACTGGCTCGATACATCGGTAGGCCACCGCGAGTCATTGTAAAGGCCAGATATGCATTCAATCACCTCCAAATGATGCTTAATGAAGTCGAATGCATGGCGCATCCCTCAGGGATTAATTGACGCCGAAAACTTTATCCATTTATTTTATCTAAGTTCCCCTTAGAAGATGCACATTGTAAAACATATATTTTCCGGCTAAAAGATTATAACATCGGTGATAAGAATGTATAATAGAAGTTCGGAATGTGTTCGCTTCTTAAGGCTGTAGTTTAGCCACTGATAAATGCGCTCCTTGAAAACGCCTAAATCTTCTGTGTTCTACAAATGCGCCTATAGGTCATCTACATGATATGCCATATTCTGTGCCGATAAAGTGTCCCTAACCTCTAACTTTACTGTTTAAGTACTAGCGGAACCGTTGCGGGATTCAAGCAGACGACTTAACTCGTGAGAAATATGGCTTGGTGTACTTTTCGCGAGTGTAGCGCCTTAAGAACGCCTATACATGGACGACAAGTGCAAAACTCTGTGTTACGAAACAGGCCAGAAAAAATATGTACATTGAGATCAAGACTTAGTGTCCGCTGGAACGTACAGCAACGTACGTATCGAAATTAATGCGCATGATTCACTATTTCATAAGCATGTGGTTATTGTTACATCATTTATTCATTCAAAAAAACTGAAGTTTCGCGGCTTTGCCTCCTTTCAGAGCCAGAAAGGGTCCAAGAAGGAAGGTACTCAGCCTAACACTTTCATAACCTCATCAGATAAAATTTAAATCGTAAATTCTCATTCGTAATAATGCATTACTGTTTTTAAAAGCTCACCATTTTGTTGTATGTACGCTTTCAAGTTATTTGGTGAAGACCTTCATGGGCGATAAATATGCCTGGATCAGGTCAAAAAATCAGCATGAGGTATGGCGCGAGGTCAAGCGCCATCACAATGCACTCCCACTTGTGGTTCATGATTTTGGATTGCTGTGTGAAGGTAGTGAGGGTAGTGGACTTTTTCTTCGAAATCTCCATTATTTCTCTGTGTCCCGTGCGCGCCTAAGTAGAGAATTTGCTTTGAGTTTAGGTTTATTAACGAGGTGTTCCTTTCTACCGATGCACAGTGGTCTACCCGTTTCGCCAATGTGTTCCTCCCCATAAGCTTTACAAGAAACTAGACAAACTGTACTCGCACTCATACAATCATCGTCTCTACCGTTAGGGCATATTGTGAAATTTTGTGTTGTGCATAGGACATTCACACAGACGGTTACGAACTAGACTGCGTCCGAGAGTGTTCGGTGAGTTCGTATACGGTCTACGTGGTCCCTTATAAGACGTACGAGAACGGATATAAAAGATCAGCTAAATCAGCGCGTAAAACTCCTGAAACTTCTTAAATAATTTGCAAAGATCCAGAAGCAAACTTCAAGAGGGAGTGGCTGGCGATCAGGTGTGACCTCGCGCCATACTTTAGAGTGTTTTTTGACCTGGGCTGGGCACACTCCTCGCTGATTTAAAATTCTGTGCGGCTGGTTTCCATCAGATAACTTTGTCGCGGTTAAAAAAGTGTTTGGCTGAGTAGATTGCGTGTCCTTTCCACCTTTCCAAACTCTGAAAAAAGTGAAAAGGCCGCAACGTCAACTATTGTGTGCTAACAAATTCTATAATACCAACCTCGGGATTGCTAATTGAAGAGGAACAATGAATAATTTTTTGGTTCCTTCGTGGAAGGCCCATTTCAGAAGCCAAGTAAAAACAGGAAGTTGTTGTCGCCAATAAAGGCTATAGTAACAACCTCGTGTTTGTCCATCAAGAAACAGCGAAGTAATGATCAATGTCGAGGTTAAAAGAACACATGTACCAATTCCCATGACAACTTCCTATTAACCTCGGCATTGGCATTCAATTAGCAGACACAAGGTTGGTATTATAGAATTTATTAGGATACAATAGCTGACGTTTCGCGGTTTCGTCTTCTTCAGAGCCGATTATTCGTTGCAAGTATTCCAATTAGTTGGTGGAGAGCCTTGGCACATGGGTGAGGACTCAAGGGCGGAGACTTGAACACAGATAAGCGCCGCGAGCTTTATCTTCTTATACCTTATTATGATGAATAGTGGGTATTGTATTCAATGGGACCCCGTCATACACATGGTTGTGAATACGTTAACTCTCTAGCTAGACAGTGGTTCGTTACCCCGTTGTGTTAAAATTCTTAATAAGTGGTGAACTCGACTGTGTAGCGGAGGTCCTTCCTTCAACAAGGTAATCTTCTCTGGGAAGAAGTTCAACACTGCCATCGAAACCAATCTAATCTATGACTAGACTAAGTCACAGTGGACTATACGTCTCTACGGTTTCGTCAGAAGCAGTAAACAAACGATTGTCATAGAAAAACTATGGTCTTCTTGTCTCTCGAGCAAATGGGCCTATGCGGCGGTCATGATGCGCAGTGGGGTCCATCCGCTCGAGTTTTTCAATGATTGACAAGAATTCAAATGATCTAGATCTTTTCAGCGCGCCAAAGCTACACTTTAGTGTACATTCAATTAATGGCGGGTGCCAAAGCGCGGGAATTCTCACAAGTACTTTGTATTATCAGGGTAACACGAGATTGATGAAAAAAACTTCTATGTACGTGGTGGATTGTCCGGAAAAAAACAAGTCATTATCAGTGGACAATCACTATTATCAGCAACAAGCGTCCTACATAAACGAGCATCACCGGATGAGTATGCCGCATTTAAGCAGTGCTCTGGTGAAGATGGTCCTACTCGATGGGCGATGACGACACCATATCGAGAGTACGAATGACTGTAGACATTGATTTGGATCATCGGCGCTGAGGAAGACGAATAGGTCGAAACGTTAGCCGCATAAAAGTTTGAAGATAACCTTGTGTTAGCTTATCAAGGAAACAAGGTACATTGACTATTTATACGGAGGTTAAATGAAAGTCGATTTACAATAAATGTCAAATAATTCCTACTGTTTAGTTGTAAGTTTCTTGCTGAATCGATATGGAACGCATATGCCTATTATACACCCGGTCATTCAGTAAGTTCACCCGGTGCAACAAACAAAGCGCATTTCAAAGGAGGTAGGATACACTATCATGATTAAGAATTCGAAGTGATACAAATGAAAAGAATCCATTAACTTTCAATACTTAGATTTTCTAACACTGAAGACACTAGAGGCCTTGTAAATAGTTGTGTCCAATGACCTACACAGTGTTTTGTGAACAGTACAGTTCCAAACCAGTATCAAATATTTACTATTAATTAAAATTAAACCAGTACGTAGTGGTGACCAACACATATGTTTAAGGCAAATGCTGCAAAGAGGCCGTGGCTCAATTACGACCGCGATAATAAACAATGGTTCCTCAGATGCTGCTCCGTACTAGATTACTGACACAACTTTAATTTAAACCTCTAATGACCCAAAATGCAGTCGCAACTTTGCGACGCGATGACGAATGTGCTGTTCAACAAACGGATTCTAGATTCTACGATTGACAGGCGAATCCTGGAAAATTATGAAAGTCAGTCACACACGATGCATTCTGAGACCTTGTCAACATGATGGTTGTTCGTTTATTTCAAGTTGCCCTGGTGCTGTACCAAACCCGTGAAATGCCCGCTAAAAGGAGTACAGAATAACAGGAAACAATGATAGGGATCAAACTGTGAAAACAACGAAAAGCGAGCTTATTATGATGCAAAGCAATAACATTCGCATTTATAAACTGAGTATAATGAACGAGTAAACAATCCATAGGTACAATGACAACAGAAAAACACCAGTTGTAGAGATCATATGAGCAATAAACATCGTGAAATGTTCAGCAGAAGTTCGGGTCAATCAGAATGAAAGATGCTGATCGAGGCCATACTAAATTTACGATTGCAGCACAGAAGACAGCAAAAAGTTCCCAAATCGTGCACACCTTGGTTCAAAATGCTCTCTTGCTCACGCGTGGCCATTGTGGAATTGGCAAACATTTGCATGCGAAAAAGAAAGATATCCGTCTCAAATCAACAGCCAATCACTCGCCCGAGAGACTCTGCAGTAGTTCTATTGTATCGACAATCGGCCGTAACTTTATTAGAATAACCAGAAAACTAATTGCTTCCATCAGACCACTTATAGCCCCTGCTAATGCGTTGTACAGTTCCAGCTAGGATCTAGGCTAAGTACGACGAAACTCCAGATTTCAACCTCCGCCGAATTTTTACCGGTTCTTTCTCCGCAGGCACCTGTAGCTGTCGCTGATTTATCCGTTAGACAGACAACTGACCACTAGTCAGGTCGCTAACCATGCCCGAGTCATTATCGGCAATGACGTCGTTCTTTTGGCGTGATGGCGGCTCAGTAGTCATTTCTTCACTTTGCAAATGAGATGTGTCGTCATGTGATGGAACCGTTAGCCGTAACCTCTCATGAGCCTAAACAGCTACTCTGAGCAAAGCATCCTATCTTTTTTAATTGAACAAACATTTAAAGCAATGATGTCTTACTAAATGCTGTTTGATTCAATGGTATACAGTCATTGTACCTTTTGCACAGAACCTATTTGTATAGTATCTTAAGAATATTTTGAACTTAAGTGTTATATGAAGATTACCTCGTGTTCTGATGCTGTGTTTTCGGCGCAAAGTGTGTTGAACGCCGAGACGCTGCCCGCGCCTTGCTTTTCGTCGGTGGTTTCTTCCTAAACTAACGTAACTTGAGCTAAGTGTAGGAATAGAGAGGAGCTCCAATTATAACTCCTATAAGTTCGAGACATTCTAAAAGGTAATTCAATGATGAATCATCCGCGAATTTTGAAAGCATTTCTCACCTCGTCCGGTTCCGCTAGGAGAGGCTTGGCGTCTTCTTCGAGTGGAGAAGTGCCGAGCATGGCATGACTTGCAGATTTTGACATCGAATCCGTAGCATTTGAGCAACAAGAATGGAAGGTCAGAGACTGAACCGTAGATGGAGGAGTATCGATACCATCTGCTTGGCGTGACAATCGAGCAAATGAAGTGTCGAATGGTGTCTTGGCTATAACACGCTTCACACGATGGTGAGACTTTTGAAACCATTTTGGGTCACTGTCAATGAGCTGCGTCATGGCGGCGATAGCGGTACGAAGACGGGCGAGTGAAGGATCATAGCCGGCTAGTCGTGGATCGTTCCGTAATTGTGATTCGCTTAATGACGCGACGAAAAGACCGAGATTCTCCGGTATAGTGTATTGTAGCAACGGACTGAGTGCGAATAGCGTGAAACTCGATGGAGTGTAGCTGAAGCGAGCCGAGACTACACGTGCGTGTCTATAAACATGAGCATCATCATTTCATTCAAAGAACCTTTACTGTGAACTACGCAGTTTATGTTAAGAGATTTGATGGTTAGTTAGTAAACGGTAATACCAGATAAAAAATATTTGTAAGAAGGATTTTGTATTAATACTAAAACAGGTCAGAAAATCATTTCGGACTGAAACATAGTTTCTATTTCTCACGTCCCACATTTACTTCACAAGGATGTCTCCAATTATGTACTTGAACACTTGAACTTGAACGGCCCACCCACACTAGTTGTGCGTGCCCCAGCGTAATCACCGTTTATCGGAGATTTGTTGGTTAAGCCATTGTGGTTCCCTGGAATCCCGAGGAGAGTCTGGCCAAAGTCTGCCTCAGGTCGTCACCACGACAGGCAGTCGCAGCCCTTGTGGATCAGAGGGAGATTTACAACCACGCGACTTTGATACCAACACGGTGGTGGATCCTGGTATTGGTTTACTCTTAGCTAGGCTTCCTGATGGAAACGCCGGACTCCTTCTCAGCTTGGGAGACCCTGCCAGGGGGATGAATCCACCCGGTGCACATCGAAGTCCAACAACTAGGAATACCTCCCAACCACGATGAGGTAGTAAACCATTGGGAGGCACTAACTATATTACACAGAGCAATTTAGTAACAATATGGACCATAATTGGTCCGCTTCTGAGCTTAGGATAATCAGTGTGGAGAAAAAAATAGAAAAAAAAAATAAAAAACTAGAAACCAAAACAATACAACTGTTTTCTTATCTTCAAGTACAGTCGTCATACTCACTGTAGGACCAAATCAATTTGACTAAGAAAAATGCCGTCGAGTGGCGACTTTTCCACCCTCTCTACAGTCTCTTCGCCCAGACAACGTGCTTGGACTCGATAACACGAACCAATCGAATTAATTACTATTACCTGGAACAAAAAATACAAACAGGATATTTCGTGTCGCATTTATTCCGAAATTAAATGATAGCTGGAATTTAAAAACCATAGCGCTTAGGCTCCGAAGCCAGCTATTCTCAAATTGCTGCGATTTTTCAATAGCTTCAATACTTGAGGAGTTGACAATGTGATTGTCTTTTGAACATATGTTGTTCGATCTATTCAAGAGTAAGCACGGTTCTTTAAAATCGTTAGTTGATTTTTAGAGGTGTTCACGTGTAACCTGTAGTCCCGTAAACCGTCGAGTGACTCGAGCGGGCGCCAGTAAATTTTCCACTTTTCCCTGTCGCGTGCAAGAGTAGCCCAGTGGGTTCTGCTCGTTCTAGAGACTCGTCGAGCATAATATCTTTCTTCTAGGCTCTTCGTGAAGAACTCTAACCATCGGGTTGGTGATATTCCTGCAGTACGTTTGACATCCTGAGGAATCCAGTCACTAATGGCTCTTATCCATCGGTTGTCATTCCTACGCATTACGTGTCCGGCACACCTTATCTTCGACTGTTTGGCGTACAGAACGACATCTTCGATTTTTAATCGTTGACGCCGGTCGGAGCTTCGAATCCCTTCCTTTACTTATGTGAAATCGCCTATTTCTAGCATCGTCCTTTCGACTGAGCGTTCAATAATGCCGAATCATCGTCCATTCTGCTTACGCAGCGACCATGTCTCTGACGCATACGTTAGGGCAGGAAGTACCGTTGAGTCGAAAAGGTAGGCACGGAGTCGGATGTTCTTTGTTCTCTTCACTACATCCTCGATGCTCTTGAAGGCTCCCCAGGCCGCTCGTTTCCTTCTGCTCAGCTCTGGAGCTAGTTCGTTCATCATATTGATTTCCCGACTTAGATAGACATAACTGGAGAATTCGGAGATATTGGTTCCGTTGAGTGTGAATGGGGCATACGAAACCAAACCATTCCTCACGAACCTCGTTTATGTGAGATTTAGTCTAATATCAATCTTTCCACAGGCTTTATCAAAGTCGTCAAGCATACGTTCCGCTTGGCTAATGCTTGGTGTTATAAGGACGATGTCATCAGCAAAACGAAGTTGGTGTAACTGCTGCCCATCGATTTTCACTCCCATATTATCCCATTCCAATGTTCGCATGACGTTTGCGGTAAATAATTTTGGCGAGATGGTATCGCTTTGCCTAACTACTCTTTTGACGTCAATGTTAATGTCGTTGTAGGATGGTGATATCTTGGTTGTGAAGTTTTTGTACAGCTCACGAAGAATCTTTATGTACTGAGTAGGGACTCCTTGACTATCAAGGGCTTTTCAGACTGATTCCATCTCAACTGAATCAAAGGCCTTCTGTAAATCGATGAAAGTGAGACAGAGCGGTCTTTTGTACTCTCGCGACACTTCAATGAGCCATTTTACCGTGTGAATGTGATCCATCGTACTAAATCCTTTTCGAAACTCTGCTTGCCCACATGGTTGTCCTTCGTCTAGTCTTCTGTCAATCCTGTTTAGGATGACTCGAGTGAGAAGTTTGTAGAAGACAGAAAGTAAGCAGATTGGGCGATAGGTGCCGATATCGTGCAGGTCACCCTTCTTGAACAATAACACGGTCTTGCTGGTCTTCTATTGAGTAGAGACCTTGCATTCAGACAGGTAACGTGTGAATAGCCGAGCCAGCGTGTTTACGAGGACTGGTGGAAGGTTCTTCAGACATTCTGGTCTTATCCTGTCCGGACCTAGTGCTGTTCGATTTTTCACCGACGAGATGGCATGTCGGATTTCGGAAGGGAGAACCGATGGTACAACATATCCATCTTCCTCTATTTCATATGACGGAAGGTGGACGTGACTATCGAATAGATTGGAGTAGTACTCGTGAATGATTTTCTCCATTGCCTTTCTAGACGCTGTAACTGTTCCGTCTGGGCGCCGGAGTGCAATCATTTTGGTCTTGTAATTGGCGAAGCTTCGGTGGGCTTTGCGAATGCTTTTTCCAGCCACTGCAGCTTCGACCATTACTGCTGCTATTCTCTCTTTAAGATCTTCTTTTATCGCCTGTCTGCATTGTTTTGCAAGTTCGAACGTTAGTTCGCGGTTGCCAGCAGCTCGTGTGATTCCACACTGGTGCGTCAGCTAGAGTCTTTCTGGAGACAAACATCTCTTGGTGACTTCCAAACTCTCAGCTTTCATAGCGCTAATGTGAAGGCGTTGAATGAGCCGACGGTACTCTTCGTCGATGTTATCAACAACGGCATCTTTTCAATAGCCGACTAATGAATTGAATAAGCCCCAGTTTGCAGTGGTTCTGGGACTTCGGTTTTGGAATTTAGCGGCTTTTTCCCCCTTCCACGAGAAATAGAATTTTGCACGAAGGAGACCGTGGACAGATCCCGCGTAGAATTTGGGGACAACAGTAACATCGGTTAGGCAAGACCTTCTATTTACTATGATGTGGTCTTTTCGTTGTGGTACTCTCCTTTCGGAGACTCCCACGTCCAGCAATGAGGGTGGAGCTTCTGGAATTGCAAGTCACCACGGATGGTCTTGGTCGCCATGATAAACTCAGATAGGCGCCTATCCTGTTCGTTCTATTCTAATCCGTGGCTCCCAGTGTGACGTTCTTCAGACGTTCTTCTTCGTCCAACCTTGGCGNCGCCATGATAAACTCAGATAGGCGCCTATCCCGCCATGATAAACTCAGATAGGCGCCTATCCCGCCATGATAAACTCAGATAGGCGCCTATCCTGTTCGTTCTATTCCAATCCGTGGCTCCCAGTGTGACGTTCTTCAGACGTTCTTCTTCGTCCAACCTTGGCGCTGAAATCCCCAATGATGACCTTGAAGAATGCGTGGTCTTCTCTGCAGAATATCTCCAAGTCCATATAAAATGCTCCGATTTCTTCTTCGTCATAGTTTCACGCCGTCTCGTAAACGACGAAGATTGTGAAAGTCGGAATTGATCCAAGTCTTTTTTAATCGTAAACGTCCGATTCGGGTTGTAAGTTGTTCGAATGAATCGATATTCATTGACAAACTCGTGTTGACGAGAGCGCCAACGCCGCCTACTCCTCTACTGTCGCATGTTCCGAGGAACAGTTCTTCGGTGTCATAGACGGCGTTGAAAGGCTGGCGACTCCTCGCCTTGGCCAGGCCGATGACGTCGTACCTTATCCTTCTTGCTTGCATGAGCAGGTCTTCTATCGAGGACTCGGATGCAAGTGTACGTGCATTGTTGGTACAGATCGTCACTATAGTTCTTTGAAATCCAAGCAGCTTCCATTGGCCCTGAGATTTTAACAGTCTCTCCGTACTCGTTCTATCTAACGCTGCGAAATTGGGTGCTCTTTCGGGGTCAGGGGAATGAGGCCCGTTTTTTTTTCACTGTGTTTAGCGTCTTTGATACTCACATATAGCTTGCTGGGCTCTGAACGTGGTGGCTGGGTATACTCACAGGTAGCTTGCCAGGCACTCTCGGAGTGGACACGGAGCTCATTTGTTGGAGGCGACTCCTAACCGCCTCCCATATACTTCCCAGTCACTTGATTGCAGGCTTTTAGCCGATTTGACTCGTAGAATACAATCCGCATAAGCAAGAATGCACCCACACACGCGTGGATGAAGACGCCTAGCAAATGCAGAAAGTATGTACCAAATCAGCGCAGTAGAAACAGGGAGTCCAACCCCTGGATCCACCTGCGTCTCAGAGAAGCGAAAGTCGCTTTTGGTTCGCAATTAACCCCCTATCCGCCGCCTGAGGACGTGCCAGGTACCCTCGCGAATAACCGGCTCGAGATCCCTCATATGAGTAAGATCCGTTGTTTAGAGGTGTTTAGAAGTAAAAATTCGGGAAGGAACGGAAGCAAAATTTAGATCCTTAGAAGTCCAAAAAAGTTACATTCCCAAATGAAAGCCCAGCAACCGTAAAGATCAACAACACAATTACGGACACCATCGTGTTCTAATGGACAAAATACCGCTCGTTCAATTGCTTTCATTTCCGAAACACAAGTCTCGATGAAAAAAAGTGACGAGAGTACGATTTCTGGCTTGAACAAATTTCATGCTGGTATGAGATCTTGTTACTTATTGGCAAAAAAACAAGTTCTAATATCCGGTATTTCAATTTAAAAAGTTCACTGAGAGCTGGGAGATATTGGTTTCAAGTTGGAAGCAGTCGTTGTTTTCGCATCTCATGAGTGGAAATCAACTCACGACGGAGCTTAAGTGCAGAGACCTCAGTTGTAACAGGACTTCATCCGAGACTAATTAAAATAATATGTTTGGCTTTCAATGATAATAATGACTGGTTGAAGAAACAACACGTATTTTTTCTATGGTGCTTCCGCAAAAAATCTAGTTTGTCATGTAAATATGAATGTACACATGTGTGAAACTCACTTTATCTGCCTTCATTATACTGGAATTCACATAATCATACAGGTTTTTCTCTATTATTTCCTCGTCCCATACGTCTAGCTGAAAACTGAAGATCATTTAGCTAAGAATTTCGGAAGATCTCTAAACCTCATTCTTTCATCACAACTGTCACAACCACAATGATGCCGAGATATTTGCAAAACTCCGGACCGTAGGTGTCTATGGTGGGAAACGAACGCGCTATTACTTTTCCGGCGAAAAACGCGTTCACCACCACACTATACGAGTCCTGGTCTCTCAGCTAGTTCTATCGATCAGCGCCATCAGCAATCACCCATCAAAGGGATTGATCTGGTGAACCCGCATCGGCATTGAACCCCGTTAAGCTGAGGTTCTAGTTGAAACACAATGTTAACTCTTTTATTTACTGCTTCTTATAATTGTTGTTAAAAAATAAACTATAATTATAGCGCAATTATAATATTATGCTAGGTGAGAAACAGGTGAGACGAAGGGCCAGAACAGTGCGGTGGTGAACGCTGGAGCCGCCGGAAAGGGTAATAGCGCGTTTGTTCTCCACCGCAGGCACCTGCGGTCCGGAGTTCTGCAAATATCTCAGCATCACTGCGGTCGTTTCACAGGTAATACCCTGTCATGAAAAATTATAATAGGGAGCAAATAAAAAAGTTAACAACTATTATAGTTGAAATTGCTGTTTGTTAGCCGAAAGGTGGTCAGTTACATTCCTTGTGGTTTTGTGAATTCCTTTAACAAAAAGAGACACTATTCAGCGAAATAAATAATATGAATATCGATCGCCTACATGCACTTTCATCTTGAAAGTGTCTCGTAGTAGTTCAGCTAACGCTATCACGGCCGCATCGTGTTGTGGACAGTCGTGACTGTAGACGATTAGCACCGACGTTGGATCTGAATGCGTAAGTGGGGTTGAACTATTTATGAAAATTAGCGATGACTGATGAAACCGATGCCAGTTGCATCTATTCTCCGACTAATAGAATGCGTGATGAACAACAATAAAATGATATGACGTGATTTTAAGAAGAACTGTGACACTTTCTATTCACGATTGTTCACTAGCACGACAGCGCTATCTGTGCTTGGCCACTACTTTACGGATGGAGGTGTTACTCGGTGGCAAAGTACGGTGAACACGACACTCATAGCCGAAAACGATGAAATTAGTAGGTGTTACAGCAAAAATGTTGTGCTTTCTCTTGAACGAAGCCGAGCCAAACACACAATTTTTGTGCGCGACAAAGATCAATAGAGTTCATTGGAGTCCGCTCAACTTGGGGACTAACGAAGTCACAGGTGATAATCGACAGTGAGACGTTAGTTAGTGTTAACTGGAAGTTCTTTAATAGCGGAATACTTAGGAAGAATGATGCTAGTTTGCTTAAAATATATAGAACATCATGCAGTACTGTTCGCAACAATTTGAACCAAATTAGTAGGTATGGATATTTTACACGGATTTCTAGGACATGGTAAACCTTGGGGCAGTCAGTGACAAGGCTATGTGGCGAGTTGTTATGTAGCCAGTAAAAAAGTTGAATTCGTATCAAAAGCAGCCACATGCTCGACTTGAGCAGCAAATGAATTCAAGTGATGAGTACATTATCTCTGATGAGGTACGGATTGACTTATACCACTATAAATACATGAGGTATTCGCGTAATCGTAGAAATATGATTAGGTGAACTTGCACGTTTGTAAACCTTATCATGCACCTCGATCTGCTCAAAAAATAAATCAAGTGTCAGTTTGTCCGGCTTCGCGTCCTTACAAGCATTAAGTTCACTCCGGGAAAGTCTGTTGGGTTATTCACAGGTACCACCTTTTCGCCTACGCAGTAAAAATAAAGAAACTCATAAAAAGGGTGACGCTCTTTGCATCTTTGAATAGTGTAAACCAGCAGGATAGGATACGCACTAATGAAGACTTCACCTATGTCAGCAAGAAAAGTTCGAAAACTAACGAAACCACAAGTGATACCAGTGTAATCACATCTCAATATAAAGGATGAAGTTCTCGGCATTGATCAATTCCTGAGGGATGCGCCATTCATTCGACTTCATTAAGTATCGTTGGAGGTGACTGAATGCATATCAGGCCTTTATAGTGACTCGCGGTGGCCTACCGATGTATCGAGCCAGTGCTACTATCCTCCCAGACAAGTCTGGTACAAATTTGCCGACTCCGGAGGGATGGAAGGACTAGTGGACCATTGGCGCGAGGAGCGATTCCACGTGTGTCGTAGTGGCTCCCCCAACTACTGAGCCACAGGGGCCCATTATCTCAATATAGTACGTTATAATATGAAAACGGAACTCTGTTGAACTAATCAAGAACTCACAGTTATAGATCAGTGGTGCCCGAGGTTCAGCTGAAACCGTTCCGTTGTTGCCGTTATGATCTGATATGAAACGTATTCGGACGGACTGAAAGAGGTGTGTTTGCCTTCGAATTTGAAAAATATGTCGTTACCAATTGATTCCAATTGTGAATCTTCACGATTCATCCAATCGAATCCAATCATTCAATTTCATACACTAATGACTTTTTTCTACGCCTTTTGTAAAGCTCTTTTTCACCTCAAAACCAACAAGGCACAAATGAAAGTTTTATAAAACAGTGTCTGATTAGCGTTTAGTCTCCCAATGTCTTTTCTGTGAGACAAATGTTTTAAAAAATAATCAGTTGGAGAGGAGTTAATAAATAAACTGAAAAATGAGGAAGCAGGACAGAAAAAAACATGATCTCAAAGCGAAATTGGGCATTGATGTTTCCTTCACACTTACATTAAGCTGCATAAAGAGCTTGGATAGGATCGCCTTAGTGACAAGTGTCAGTCGACAAAACTAATCACTAAGTACAATTTTAACTTATTATTTACTGCCTACTCTTTTTTAACGGCAGGGTATACATTGTGAAATATAACTTCAATGATGCTGAGATTTTTGCAAAACTCCAGACCACAGGTGTATGCGGTGGGGAACGAACGTGCTATTGTCCTTTCCGGGGAGTAGCGGGTTCACCACCACACCACGCGGGTCCTTCGTTTCGCCTACCTCTCAACTAGTTCTATCGATCTTTTGCCATTAGCAGCTCAGAGCCTCAGCTTAATTGGGTTCAGTGCCGATTTGGGCTCCACAGATCAATCCCGTTGACGGGTGATCGCTGATGGCAAAAGATCGATAGAAGTAGCTGAGAGACAGGCGAAACGAAGGACCCGCGTGGTGTGGTGGTGAACGCGCTACTCCCCGGAAAGGACAATAGCGCGTTCGTTCCCTACCGCATACACCTGCGGTCCGGAGTTTTGCAAATATCTCGGCACCATTGAAGTTATAATCACTAAGTAGCGAGTTCATAAAAAAATCAATGAAACAATGAATCACTTCACCTTTCCACGTTTTGCATATTTTCTGTAGAACACCAGTAACATGCTAACGATTGCACATAGTACGAACAACAAGCATAAAGCTATAACGACAGCATAGACAGGCCTAAAATGTGGGTGTTATGAGGGAGGGTAGACCATTGTAGAAAAATATTTAGATATAAGGTGAGTTTCAGATGGGAAAATTTGTTGACTGGAGTCTAATAATATTTAATTGGAGTGATGTTCCTGATAAGAGGGCGGGTATGGTAGTGATGCTGATGATCACGAGCATGGTGCCGCTTCCATCTCATTCCGAGGTTACTGAGCCACTACAGGGTTGGGACAATGGTACCGGACCTGTCTGGGAAAAGGTCACTTTCCGCAATCCCGGTGAGGACGTTCTAGTTTAGCTATCCAAGGGCTCCAGAAAGAATCGATTCGACCAGCATTCAACGACATTTATGATGGGAAAAAATCCTAAGCAGCGGCCGAAGCCATAAGTAAAATGTTAAAGCATCTTCGTTGATGATGAATGCGAGGAAACGAATCGAATGCGAGAAGTGCTGGGATCCACACAGAAGATGTGAAAGACAAATCATGTAAAAATGCTCTCTATATATTGTGATAAACATCGTGATGACCACGAAAGGAAGCTACCAATGCTGACAAATTGAATACACCCATATATTCGCCAGAAATATGAACACCTCGTCATATTAACATAAAACGAATTTTGTTGAATAAAATCTACAACTTCCGACAAAACCTAGGAAAAAATCCATCTGACTTGAAAAAATGTCATATAATTCTCAATTAGTGATGACACTTTCTTCCTTTCCATACCTAGATCTAGGATATAAATGAAATAATAAGTTTTAAGGCCGACTTCAAGCCGATCGAAATCGAATGTGTTGCATCAGGACTTCGGAAAACCATGAGATACGCGGCATACATTTATATATAACCCGACATCATCATTGTGCGGATCTCATGGCTTCTTTTATTTGATTCATTTCCCCAAATCCATTACCCTAGGTGTAAGAATTTATGTTGTTGAGCTGCTTCATAACGATATCTGTTATTTAAGAATGCCATTAAATGCTGCTTTAGCCGACTCTTCTTGAAATCTTGGTATAGCGGTGCTACGGTATCTCCTTGCTATAGACAGTTCCCAGATTTTGTTAAGAAAGTATCCCAGAGAAGTCTGCCACAGTTTCTCAACCCCGAAAATATGCGAGGTTTAGCTAACACGGGCGAGGTTAACGACAGCCTTTCATTTATTCAACGACACCTCTACCTAGTCGGCAACCCACGGCTATAGCATATTTAGTATAAAAAAGAGACCTGTAGCACATGTAAGCCCTATTAACCACTGAGCCCCCTCGAACATTAGGATAGCTCAGTAGACTCCACTTTCCAAAAGGGCAAGAAGAGTACCATATCATCGCTATAATACCTTACGCGGTTTTAACGAGTACGTAGCTATAATTGCGGGCGCGTGTAGCGCAGTGGATGGGAGGTGCTCTGCAAGACAGACGGAGTCCGTCGATTCGATAACACGCTTAAGCTCACAAAGTCTTTCATCGCTCTGGGATTGGCACGTCGATATCGGACCTGTTTTGGAGGATAGCAGCACTTACTTGATACATCGGTTGGCTGTATTGGCCAGATATGCATTCAGTCACCTCTGATGGTGCTTGGTGAAGTCTCATCCATGAGGCATTTCTTACGGACTAATTAACGTCGGCAACTTTATACCTTATTTTACGTAACAATAGTTAAAAACGTAGTGCTCAGCCGTTACACAAGTTTACTGCTCGTTGAGCTTCTGGGTGGAAATGTCAAGCTCCTTCTAGGTTTAGGTGAACATGCTGACGACGAATCCTCGCTATACATTGTAAATCGATTTGTAGGAACACCCTCATCTACAATGATACGGTAAGCTACTCAATGGTTTCCATGTTATCTGTCATGAAGGTCTGTCATTAAAACTGAAATGTGTACCAGATATGATACTATAACAAAATCAATAGCACAAACATACCAGTAAACATTTTCATCACGTGAATGTATGATAGTTGGAATCGTAGAGTTGATAACCGGAGTTGGTTTTTCGAGGCCTGAAATGAGATGCTGCGATTGACGATTTCACAATCTCGGTGCAGAAATTTTTCGAGTAAAGAAAGTGTTAGCACGATTTCACCGAAATGAGTATTGTTGTGTGTAAAATTATGGCGCCAATGAAAATCACTTCAAAAATTGCTGGTATGTTCGTAAGCAGACTTTCATGTATTGTTTTAGTTCAAGAAAATTGCAGCGAAAAATATAATCAGCACTTTCACGAGGGTAGATAGTTCGAATTTTCGATCACTCGTTGCAAACTCAATTGAGGTGGGAGGCCGTACGACGGGTATACTTAGTTCAAATTTTTCAACTCACGTTGTAAACGAACGCGTTTCCAGTCGGCCGCTATACAACTGCAAGCTCCGTGTTGCTCACTAGTTGGACATAAACATCGACCATCCGACGACATTTCTACCGGAATCACAGATGGAATATAGTCAACTCCGTACTAAAACGTCACTCAAATAAGACATGGTAGTTCAGAATTAGTATTATTTATTTGTTTCGAAAGATGAAGATGCTCGTGGAGGAGTATCATTCAAATCCATTCGGTAGTTTCAGGAAAAACAAACCTTTATTAGACATGAATGATAAATGACAACAGAGAAGGAAGTGGCATCATTATTATTGTTACTATGAACCATCGAATGAGCATTCTTCTCTTTTTCTCTTATTTTTTCTTTCAAAAACATTCTTTTACAAGTGGACCTGCTTGTTTAACACCTCAACACAAACGTTTTCGCATAGCGGTTTCTTAAAGTCACAAACGACTTTGTCACCATTTTTGGATATATGATACAGCCACGTTAAGGCTCTCGAATTCAGACTTAACCTAAAAGGTCTCTTCATCGTTGAACCTTTTTAGAAATTCAAGTTTTAGGCTATTCGAGTTTAAAATCAACGACATTATTTAAGTTTACAGTATGACTGCTGCATTTCATAGCTTTGTTACATTTCATAACTTGTTTATGAATGCGAAGGACAATCATTTCCCGCATTCGTTCCCCTGAGTCACTCTCCTTCTTATGTGACTCTTCAACAAGCGACTGTAAAATTGTTAACTTTGCGAAGGATTCGAGAATCATACGAAAACTCCACATAAACCTGCTCTTGCTAAATGCGAGATAATCGAAAACACCGTCAATTAACTAACGTAGATTGACTTCCAAAATCTAACGAATAGCAAATTAACAGAACAATACGTTAGGATAAATGAAATAAATTACAGATAAACAAAGAAGCATGTCTCTAATTGTTCATCATCGTTCGTAGTTCGTAGAGCAACTAAAACAGAACAAAAATTTGGCACCTCCATCCAGAAGCTCTCCGAAGCTGTGGAGACCAACAAGCACGACTGGTGTTCAGCAGGAACGAATGGTTGATTTACTTTTGCTAAGCTGAGGCAATTGATTAATAATTACAATCGGTAAACGCACTATAAATATATGCATATACACAAGTGGGCGCGGGTAGCGCAGTGGTTGGAGTTGTCCTGCAATAGACAAATGATCGTTCATCCGAACCTGTGCCACGTGCTCACTGTCTTCCAACCCTTCGGGATCGCTTAACTGGTACCAAAATTGTCTGGGATGATAACAGGAGTGCCGCGAGTCATTACTGTATAGGTTAGATATACACACAGGCAAGAATTTATAGCCCTTCTTAAGTGGGTACCAACGAAGATTAGGTGCGCTCTAATATGTACTAGATAAGACAGCTAACGCTATCATTATTGCCCATATTTTTGTACCACCAATAAAAGACTTTCTTACGAAACTTATACAGAGGAGAATGTCTTAATAAGAGAAAAAATTGGATGAGATATCACAACATAAAGCAGATTAATTGCATGAGAGACGACATGAGCGACATTGCACTTTTGAAATGATGTCCATTACTTCTACAGTTATTTATGAGAATGCACCTACGGGAAGCTTACAGAGCTTGTTGTAGCATAGGTTCATACTTGGCATTTTCAGAATATAACACTTTCTGAACGCCACCACAGTTTCTACCCTGTGCAACGGTACGTGTTTTGGAGCAGGTAGGTTTTCAAACATAAAATACTGCTCAACACTGGAGTTTCAGTGCCTCTCTTAAATTATTAGCGATTTTAAAAAGATTACTACTGAAGTCGTTAGGCGGAATACTATGAATATTTTCCTTTTGATAGAAACTTGACGTAGTGTTCCGCTATAGTCACATAGCTGAAGCCAAGATATCTAAGCGGATAGCTGATTATCTACAACGGTTTTCTCAATAACATCAAACAAAGTGCGTATATTAAAATATTTAGAAGTATAATCTACTTACCTCTAATCCAGTAAAGTTGTATTCACCAAAATACAGCGCTTTTCCATCAATAATTTCCTTTCTCATATCTTTAGCCTTTATAATTGCATGGAATAACAGTTCAATACCGGTTTCGTCAAGTAGTCGTACCTGAATGAGACCACGACTCACCACTAAGTAACTAAATCTTTAATGAGCATGCCAGGTTTGTTGTAACTTGAAAAGATTCATCCATTTTCCCACTTTCACTAGTCAAATTGTTCCTTTGTCACTTCTGTTTCTCTGTCTTTTTCCCATTCTCTACATCCAGATTTTTCTTTGTCTTCGTGGAAAATTCTTGGCGTTTTATTAAATGCCACACCTCGTATTCCTCAAAACAGAAATGCGGTGGTGCGCCGACGAACTCGACCTGTATCGTTCGGGTGATTGACTGCAGAACAATACGTCGAAATGCTGCCGTCCATTTTGATGCCTCGGTGTTCGCTAAACTTTTCGAATATTTGAAATCTAAAAGCTCATTAACTCTTCAATTTCTGGTCTGAAACCAGCAACCTTCCTTTGGCCTGCTTGAATACAATACACTGGGTGCATTTCATCTACTACATAATGGATGGTGACTACTACGGTGGGGCATACTGTAGGTGCCAACGATTCCACCAAGCATTTGTAAGAATTTAATTATAAGGTTATATAAACAGCTAACAGAGCAGACTGTATGTAAACAGTACGCCTTCGATCCCTGAACAACACGAGAGGTTTTAAATATGAACTAAATTATGATAAACGCTGCACTGGTAACACCTAAGAAAGAATTCGCAAAACTAAATAATGGAAGTCTAATTTGCCAGAAACGTGGTACTAAGAGTGCAAGATGAGTCTTCCCTATAATTTAAAGTAATTTTCTGAACAAAATGAATCTTGGGAGTGGCCGACTGCGAAAATTTAAGGGAAATGGAAGTGGAAAAGCAACTGTGGATAAATGACCGAAGAAGTAGATTTATTCGGATCCTAAACATTCCACAACTTTACTGCTTCAATGCAAATAATCACAGAAATTTAGTTCTTGTGAAATGGGTCTAACTTTTTACCAAGCAAATATCAAGGATGTGGTTAATGACGACGAGCTTCGAAATTTAAGAAGACTTAGACCCGGCTTGACATATTGTCCTGAGTAGGTTGACCACCTAATCACATTAATATCTGTTGCCATAAAAGAATCAAAGTCGCGAAGCAATAACCTTCTCTGCAACTTTAACAAGTCTCAGCGATTGCCAATGAAGATTTAGTGGCATTCTAGCATGATTAGCTGGAGATTCCAAGGCAGATGATGCCCGAATTCAAAATGGCAACGAGAACAGAAAATAACAGAGCATCAAGTTGCAACCAGTCACCACCCTTACCTCACGACCTTTATGTTGGCTTTGTGGTCCATAGGTGCGACATTTTTCTGTAGTAGTGTTTACTCATTTCGTTTTACATTAAATTGTTAACCGAATTTGTGTCCTGTACTTTAGGGCAATAAAATAGCACATAAAACTTCTGCTCGATGATGATACAGTAGTTATCAAGATTTTGAACAAAATTCTATGTTAACAATATAAAATAAGGCAGAAAACAAAACGTTAAACATTGTGATTTCAACTACAGCCATAGCTTAACTGGGTTCTATGCCGATTTGCGCTCCCCAGATCAACCCCGCTGACGGGTGATTGCTGTGGCAAAAAGATCGATAGAAATAGCTGAGAGACGTGCGAAACAAAGGACCCGCATGGTGTGGTGGTGAACGCGTTGCTCCCCGGAAAGGATAATAGCGCGTTCGTTCCCCACCATAGACACCTGCGGTCCAGAGTTTTGCAAATATCTCAGCAACGTTGTGGTTAACAATTTATGTTAAGCTTTTATTTTCCGTCTACTATAATTCTTCACGGCAGGATCTGATGTGAAATAGAACCACAACGATGCTGAGATATTCGCAAAACTTGGACCCTGAACCAGATCAAACCACAATTACCCTTTCCCAATATCAAAAACTTAGGGATCTCTGGAACAATGTAAGTAATACGGAAAAATAAATGAGATTACTACATGCCATGTGCACGAAATCAGACAGCTGACGTGGAGATCACATCAACTAACTTCAGATTTGACATAAAAAAAGAAAAAACCTAACATATAAGGGCGGTTAGTCTTCGGAAGTTATCAACTGATACCATCTTACCGATGAGCGTTAAGTTCTCCGAGTCAGTTCCAGTTGTAGCTCTCCACAAGTGCTACTGCTCTAAAGTAGTTATCAAAAGAAATTTCACATATACTTCATGAAATCAAAGAAGATCAATTCTCATTATCCCACAAAAGCTACAAATGTCAGGATGATTCAATGCGTATTCGTGGATTTCCCTTGAATTTAATTAAAGGACAAATACTTCAATTGACTCTTCAATTGTCTGCATTTCCTTATTGACTCGACTGAAAACCGATCCAATTTTCTAGGAAATTGCGGTTAGACATGAAAAATAGGTGATTTCTGTCAATAACGAGCGAAGAAGATGAAGGATGAGACAAGCTCGAAGGCTATTTTGTTTCGAGCTAGAACTTCCACTTGAAAAATGTTCAACTGAAAATTTAGTTGAGTACTGCCTGATATGAACTGAGAGTTACGGCTTGGAATATTTCCCTAAAAGCTGATCGAGATATAATGATTCTGAAATCAGACACCAGTACAACTACGACAATCTGGGACAAACTTATCGATGTTAAGGAGGGAATTATCCTTGTCGAATCTCAGCCCTGAGGTGGCTATCGCCACCAAGGCCCGATGCATTTTCTCCCACGGTACGTTGTTATCCCTTTAAAGGTCTCCTAAGATTAGGGGTCGATACTTCTATCCAGAAACACCGATAAACCGAGAGTAAACCGATATTAGAAATCATCGTCTTCTTGGAAGAACTTGCACTCGCAAGACATCAATTCTCTCTTCGGTCTACAATAGTGGGCAACTTAATATGGTGACAATTTAAAAATTCTCCAGCACGAATTTTTGAGCTTGCAGCATTTATGTATGTGGTCATGCTAATTTAGACCATTTTATGATTAATGAATACAGAGGAAAAAGTGTTCATGCTAATTAACTTCCCGGTGATAAAGGATAAAGGATAAAGGACAAAGCTCTCGGAGTTGGTCAATCCCTGAGGGAGGCGCCATGCATTCGACTTCATTAGGCAACGTTTGGAGGTGAAAGAACGCATATGTGGCTTTTATAATGATTCGCACTGGTCTACCGATATATCAAGTCAGTGGATCTATCCTCCCAGACAAGTCTGGTACCAATTTGCCGACCCAGGAGGGATGGAAGGCTTGATGGGCCGTGGGCGCGAGATCGATTCCACGTGTGTGTTGCAGGGCGCTTCCCACCATTGTGCTACACGCGTCCTTACCCACTGATAACACCAATAATCGGAAGCAAAAAATAAACAAAAGGCATTAAAAATTCTACTGCACGCTCCACTACAAAAAACGATAGTTTGCTGAAGGACAAAAAGAATTTGGTTTGCCTGGTCAATTTTCTGGATATTTATGTGGTACCGACATCCGATTTATAGTCCTCCGCACACCCGCACATTCTCAGGAGTGACAGTGGGAGCCTTTTTTGCATGGCCCAAAAATCAGGATAGGGGAAAACCTCAGCACTATTCCACTACACCCATATATCACATCAAAGTAGAAGATTTTAGCTATAGAAACTAACCGAGTGTACAAGCAAAGCAGGCTTCTTGTCAGTTATTTTTCTTTATGATAACATTCCAAATCCTACGCTTGGAACTAAAAAAACTCACCCGGAAAGCCATGTAGTAAAACTTTATTAAAAAGTGTTCAATGAAGAAATAAAATGCTTATTACGGTAGCAAAGCGTTTACTACACTGTACTGCTGTGTAAATACAGACTTCTTATGTTAGGCAATTCAACAGTCGTTCATGAGCCACTCATTGTCGCTCACAAACCAGCGAACGAAAATGAATCAGCAATCGTCTGCAATTTTTCCTAATATAGCTGTGTCAATAGCACTAAATATAAAGATGAGTACTGATGATTTTATTGCTCATCTATGTCAACTTTGGAATTTATTCAGCTGTCACTTCATTCCCAGTAGACACAAAACTGAACCATTAGCGAGAACATGTTTACAGTTACCGTATTTGCGCTGATTTTATTCATTTTCGATTTTAATACGTCTTTGAGTTAAAACACGATCACGCATGAAATGCTATCGTTGAATGACGCAATGAATCCAAAAATGATGACGGCGGCGAATTCGCTGTTATTCTTTTAGTCCTATCAACAACCACAAAATACCGTAGTTTACAGTAGGGAATAATTTCTAGTTTAACACAAACAGTCTGTAAGTGCAAAAGCACTCCAAACACATATCGTTAAAGTTTTATTGATTTTTCAAATGGCATCAAAACATCGTGGAGAGTAGTTAGACATAGTCTGAGATATACATTCGTGATCGTTGATTCAAACCTACGCAATGGGCTAAGTCTCCTACACGGGTTCGAAAAATTAGTACCAGACTTGTCTGGGTCGATAGTAGCATCGACTGGAAACATCGGCAGGTTCCCGCAAGTCACTGTGTAGGGCAAGTATGTACTTAACCACCTCTCCTACGATTCCTAATGGACTCGAATGCACGCCGCATCCCTAAGGAATCGATCAACGCCGAACGTTTTTTCTTTGTTTCATTAACATATCGTTCAGCACAATAGATTCCAAACAGGACGATACAGATATATGGTTAGATATTACTGATTTCCACCTTTTACCCTCATAACGTTCGAAACCTATCACTGTATTCAGCACATGTGGGTTATTCTAATCCTTGAGCATATAACGGGTTTTTGGACGTGCTGACGATCACTGTCAAACAAACACCACCGCATCCGTGTTCAGTTGGATCGATGGTCAACCACGTTCACGTGATATTCACCAGTTTGTAAGCAGGGTGTTATCATTAATTAAAAAAAATTTCCTACTGTCTACGGATAGATGAGCAACTGCAAAAAAATCCCAGACAGTAGCATAGAAGTGTTGAGTAGCATTCTGTATAAACAGACAAGCTCGTCTACCTTCCGCTATCAAAACTAACGTTTCAAGGATTTCAAAAGCCTAACTTTCAAGTTCAGGAAAGTGTGGCAAAGGATTTGTAGAGAACATGCCATTGTGGTTAAAAACCTGTTCCGCTCTATTTCATTCAGAACCGAGGTACCACATGACATTGGTTTCATGATGACTTAAAAACACAATTCCACGCATTATTTCCTCCCAACAACAAAAATAATAAATTGAATGCTAGAGAAAAAATGATGGGAGCCAAATATAAATTGGTCCCAGGTCGATAAATACTACATTCTGAGCTAAGACTAGTAAAAATTGTGCATAGTTATTGTAGATGTTGACAAAGCCGTCGCATATAAAAACATTTCGAAACCGACCTTCCCTAAACCTCGGTGTGACTAATCAATATGTATTCTTTCTTGA